GTAATTACATGGTTCATACAACCCATCTAAACCAGTGGAACCCATCTATGGAACCAAACTAACCGATCTTTCTACTCCCCCCTCCCAGCTCCAAAAAGCCAGTCAACTCCTGCTAACACGAACACCCATGTGAACCCGAAAAAGAAACCACAGAGCCCGAGGGCCGCCTCAACCCCAGCATCGCCGAAGCGATTCTCCTGCAGATTCAAACCTCAGATGTCAGCTCGGTACAGCCAGTCAGGCAGTACAGCGACTGTCGAGAATGTTTCTTCCAACACCTGTTTTGGGTGTGGCTCAAAAAATTAAGAGCTAGGGTTACGCGGGGTTCAGTCTTTGTTTCCATTTACCAAGGTGCCATGTTGGGTACCATTTTTTCAGGCACTGCCATTTCTCATGGAGCCTTTTTGATCTTGTGCTAGGGTGACGCATCCAGCATCACCCAAATGGTTGGGGTGTTGTTTGAGCAAGTCTGCCTTCAGCGTTTCAGCCTCAACAAGACATTAACCAAAGTGTATATGTTCGGCATTTGCTTGAAGTAGCGCTGGGGTCATTCAAGTCGTTCCCAGAAAACGGTACGTTGGCTTCTTCCAGCTACCCTTGGAGCCAAAGGGCCCACGTTTGGGTACTACGCATCAGACCGGCTGCGGGGTCTTCGGTGAGGCCAAATCACAGTCGCACGTGAGAGGCCCATGGGAGCCTATGGCAAGGGCATTCAGGCGCCATTTCCCCCCCCCCCCCCCCGTGAGCTTTTTGTCCACCAGCCAGTGCAAGAATCCTTGTCATGCTGTACTGGTCACAAGTTACTGGTCGCATGAGTGTTTGATCACGTGTGCTCATGTGTCTTCAAAGTGGTCCAAAAAAGGCTTCGCACATCTTCGCAGACATTGGGCTGGCCTCACCTTGTCGGGATGGGAATCGGATGATTCCCCCGAGCCTTCCGAGTTGGATTCTACAAAAAAGAACCAGCGATGCGAAGAGCACTGGTTGCGACCAGCGTTTGATGTGGCTGTGGGGAAAATTACTTTGGTCCCCAAAATGGGTTGCCCCTTCGGCAAATGAAACGGACCAAACCCTGCGACCAAGCCATTGGAGGGCCCCCCTTCATCTTTGGGATGCCGAAGATGGAGTTGATCAATATCTCAGTTGTTCAGTGACCCTGAAAAAAAGGGAACCCTTTTTGGGGCTTGGACCATTTTTCGTGGGGCAGCCACGAAAAAGAATGGGCGCCACTGAACAGCTGAGAAATCTTCCCCGCCAGTTCTGACCATGGTCCCAGGACGAGGAGCTCTTAAGTGGGGAGAAACCCCTTGATCCAACCCTGATCAAACATGCTTCAATTCCTATCGGACCTCCGTCTTATTCGGGCTGCCCTGGAAGCCCTGGCCCGTTTTCTTTTCCTCAGCCATGCGGGTTGATCAAAAGGTCCTTTACGCGGGATCACCGTTGGTTGGAAACCACACAGAAGATGTGATATGTTTCAATCACTTGGGAAAACTTGCCCATCGTCAAAACTGGGGGATGAACGAAATGTTGATCCACCCCAAATGCAGCCAGCCCGCAAGCCTTAGTTCAAGCTGAGCGGCAGTGGAGATGAATTTTCTCGCCGTTGGAGATCCGGGGTATTTGCAAGACTTGACAGGTCCTCAGCTCAAGGACGATAGAGATCCAGGTCCTTACGGGTCCTTGGGTGGACTCCGGGTCTCAAAAACGGGTCCTATGTGATTGTACCTAGAACTCATAAACATGCCTTCTGCCACATAAACAGAAATGAGGTTTGACTTCTGCCCCTTGGGCAGAAGGTTTCTTTATCGTGTCAGACATCAGACGCATTGAGACCCCCAATGGAGCGCCATGCCATTGGCGTTCAGAATCCTGAGCCGATGGCTGTCGAGTCACAAAAACCGCCGGCAATTCTTCGACCCAGTGATTCCATTTACCTGGTTTTGTAGGTAACCAAGGGCTTGCCACCCTTTGAACACCAAAAGGAAAATAGATGGTTACCACTACAAGGGTAACTGGGATCCACTGGGGGAATGTTCTGTTGATTTTGCTCGAATTTTCTTCACTTGGTTGGCTCAGGCTGGACAAAGGGAGGTCCCACCCCACCTCCACCCACCCCACCCCCTGCATCATCGGGGCTTGTCTGCGCCGAATTGAAGCGGTGTTTGTCAGGTTTGGCTGGTCAATGTTTTGAGCTGTGTTGGGCTCGTGGATGCCCGAGGTATATATATATATATATATATATTTATAATATGGCGGATCGACACATGCACGGTTTTGTCGGATTCCCATGAATCAGCGCACGGTTCCTCACGTCATTTTCAAGGGCGTCACCTTTGCTGCACTTGCCCGAAACTCGTTTGTCGTCCGTAGGTAGTCTTGGAAATGGAGCAAGGAAGAAACGAATAAAGGGGCGAGGAAGAGTGAAAATTAGGTGGGAGGGAGAGAGAGAGAGAGAGAAAGAAAGAAAGAAAGAAAGAAAGAAAGAAAGAAAGAAAGAGAGACAGAGAGAGAAAAGGAGAGAAGGAGAGAAGGAGAGAAGGAGAGAGGGAGAGAAGGAGAGAAGGAGAGAAGGAGAGAAGGAGAGAAGGAGAGAAGGAGAGAAGGAGAGAAGGAGAGAAGGAGAGAAGGAGAGAAGGAGAGAAGGAGAGAAGGAGAGAAGGAGAGAAGGAGAGAAGGAGAGAAGGAGAGAAGGAGAGAAGGAGAGAAGGAGAGAAGAGAGAAGGAGAGAAGGAGAGAAGGAGAGAAGGAGAGAAGGAGAGAAGGAGAGAAGGAGAGAAGGAGAGAAGGAGAGAAGGAGAGAAGGAGAGAAGGAGAGAAGGAGAGAAGGAGAGAAGGAGAGAAGGAGAGAAGGAGAGAAAGAGAGAAAGAGAGAAAGAGAGAAAGAGAGAAAGAGAGAGAGAGAGAGAAAGAGAGAGAGAGAGAGCGAGAGAAAGCACGAGAGAGGGCGAGAGATAAAGCGCGGGAGAGGAAGAGAGGGAGAGAGAAAGCGCGAGAAAGGGAGGGAGGGAGAGATAGGGAGAGATAGCACGAGAGCGGGAGAGATTGCACGAGACAGGGAGAGAGAGCACGAGACAGGGATAGAGAGGGAGGACAAGAACATTCTGGCCAAGCATCTCCTTCTTGACGATCTCCACAATACTGGAATCTCCGATTCCTCGAAGGATTCAATAGCAAATGTTCGAAAATAGATTGCCACAGGTCCGCTCAGGTGAGTTAACCAGCGAGCTTATAGGGCAAAACTGCCAGGTGGTGCAACAACAGGATACGGGTCAACCCTCGCAACAGCCAGCATTGGCACTTATCGCATACTTTGCGACATCAATATCAGGAGGTCCGGCCCAACATGCATGAACATGTTTTGAAGTGCTGAGCTACAAATCCACAACTGGTTTGTCTAACATATCCTCAATGAGTCTCTTCTGTGTCGTGCCAGCTGGCTGAACCCTGAAATCCGATTTATGACAGGAGTGAGGTGTTTTTCATTTTTTTTGTTTTTCCGACCTCCAGTCAAATGTCGTGCCATGCCTCAAAAGCTCCAGGCAAAGAGAGTACTCGGTCGTGAGGGCTTGAGCGGACTTTTGAAAATCCCACAAGGATCCGAAATTCGAGTGGCGACCGCCAGTTGACTGCACCGCTGATACTTGAGGCCCGGTGTCTTTTTCTAGAGTTGGTACCCTTGTTCAGCGCATCTGGGAAGCCAAAAGGACAACCGCAGCCACTTTTGGGGGCTCCGATTCCTACCACAAAACGCCCAGTGGTGCATCCGATTGCTGATATCTCTCCATCCCCGCCAATCCATACCGACCGAGCGACCCCAGTTCCCAAGCTCCACGGCAGCAGTACTTGGGCCATAGGTGTGCCAGGAGTCCTCGGATCAAACTCGACTTGGGCGACTGAGTCTGTCCTTTGGAGTTGGTACCCATTTTGGGACTGGGGCTAAAGGAAAACCAAAAGGGAAACCGCCATTCTGGGGGGTCCAACCTAGAAAAGACACACCCTCCTGAAAGCAAGTGAAAAACATTCAGATCGTTCTGTTGAGACCCAAATGAGTGCATTGCTAGTCGCCTGCTAGCCTGGATCAGCAGCACGATTCAGCGCCCTTAAAAGCATGCCAACAATGACCCCTCCCAGGCCCTCTGTGAGGAACAGAAGCGGGACATGGCAAAAGCTCGTACCGTTGTCGCAAAATCGAGCCACATCGGCACATCCAAGCAATTGACCCAGTCGCCTAGTAGGCAAGGCGTTGCTTCTGCCCACCAGGGCATGCACCCGTTGTTCGATTGCCACGGCCATACCCCCCGCAGTTGGTTTCTCATAAATCAGCTGACTGCTGGGAGAGCGGCATCCTCAGGCGCATAGACCCAAGCCTCGTCAGAGGCGCGCCATTTAATGTTAACCCCGGATTTGTTCCCCCTGGTTGATGAATAGGGGGGTGTCCCCTTTCAGTGGGGATTCAACACTTGTGGAGGGAACACCCCCCAAAAATGGGACGGGTTTGTTAATCCTGGGTCAACATTACGCACCTGTACTTGAACCGCGAGGTCTGAAAAAGAACACCTAACATCGACGCCGCGTGAAGCTCGTGGCCTGGTTACCCACGTTTGGCCCCACGTCGAAGCCACAGTCCTTTAGCCTTGGCTGCGAACTGGATTTGTGATCGCATCGCGAACTGGACAACTTCCCTAGGAGCAAGTCAGCTGACCAAGAACACCCCAGCTAAGTGTGGATACGCTCAAGACACCGAACTTCTCAACACAAACGATCAAGCGCGACAAAATCGAAGCCGAGCAGAGCGCACACACTCCGTCCACCTGGAGTCTCCATGACGCTTAAAAAATGGGGTCATTACCCAGAAATTTGGGGTCATTACCCAGAAATTTGGGGTCATTACCCGAAAATTTGGGGTCATTACCCGGAAATTTGGGGTCATTACCCGGAAATTTGGGGTCATTGACCCATTTTTGAAGGGTCATGGAGACTCCCTCTGCGCCTTTTTCACTCGACCGACTCGCACGCTTCGCTTTCAATGCTGTGCAAGTCGTCCTCGGCGCCGTCAGCGTCGGCGCTTTCCGCCCAGGTGCCATTTCCTTGGTTGCAACCGGGACCCCCTGCAAAAAGTGGACCACTGTTTGGGGGGGTTGAGTGGAAAACCCCACTTGGTTTCAACCAGAAAGTTGGAAACTCTGCAGAAAGATATAAACTCTACAGAAAGTGTTTGGATTTCAACCAGAAAGCTTTATAAACTCTCAAAATCTTCGTAACCCAATCGTCAAGCTTCTCGCCGCCAGGACGTTCGAGGGATCCAAGGCCGCCTTCAGGTCTCTCAGCGCTTGGCTGAGCAGCGGGCTCTGGGTCTCGGGCAGAAGCTGTGCTCTGAGCTTCCCCACGCCGTGGTGGTGGCTCAGGCAGCCGCCACCGTTCAGCACCGCACATCTGGCCTCGAAAGACGACTGGGCAAAAACACCAACCACTTCTTGTGGGTCCAATGGACAACCCACATTTACTGCGACCAAAACGTTCCAATCTAAAGCTCCGTTTGGCTTTCTGTGGGTCCAACCCACATGATTTCAACCAGAGAGAAGAAGTCTGAAGATCCGTCAACCAGAACGTCAAAAGGTCTAAACAGCCGTTACAAACCCCGTAACAGCCGTTACCCAATAGTCCAGCGGCGGCGTGCTCCAAATTCTCAAAGGCCTCGAGCGCGAGCTTTGGCTCGAGGCCCATGGTACTGATGGCCAGGTACCTTAGCGACTCCGCTCCGTCAAGCCGTGGGTGCACTGGGATGTGTTTCTGATTTTGCACCCCTGGGTGTGTGTGTTTTTTGGGGTTGGGCCCCACAAAATGGCGGTTTCCTTGTTGGCTCCGGTTTTATATTCCACCAAAGAAGGGGGTACCCTCAAAAACAAAGCACACCCAACTGATCAAAGCAGAACCCAATCATGTGGGAGACGGAAGCCCTTGGGTGGCAAAACTTCTAAGCCTAGCCAAGGCACATGTACAAGACCCCGCCTTCGTCGTAGAGCTGCGTCATGCGGCAGGACATGAAAGGCTTCCCCGGCAACCGCAGCTCTTTGTGCCGCTCGCGCACCGCCGCCTCGCAGAGTTTGCCACGTGTCCACCCAGGCATTTCTTTGTTGTTTCGCAGATGCTTGCAGAAGTCTTTCTGTCACACCCCCAAAAACAACAACCCTCAAACACCAACCCTGATGGGAAAGAAAAAAAAAAGCATTTTGTGGAAGTGTGTTTGGAGTGTGTGTGTGTGTGGTTCAGGGGTCCTAGGAAAAGTTCTATGCTTTACTTGTTCGCCGCGTAAAGTGGAGTAGACAGTATGACTTTGTTGTTGACAACTAAAATCAACAAAAATATGATTGTCAGGGGCACCCCAATACCCCCGCCCCCCATCCCCAATAAGGCCCTTTAGAGGCAAATGGAGGTCCTTTTGGGTTCCCTGGTTGGGGGGTCCCCTCTTCAACCATAGGGAAAAAATCGAAGCTCAGAGAGCTGAACCATGTGCCCATGCGTGTTTTATGTCTATATACATACATTGCTATACAATGGTATATACTAGAATTATTGCCTACATAAGTGGGGTTGACGGGTGGTAGGAAGAAAAACAGAGCCTCGGTCCCGATCTTTTGCTGGACATTGACTTCCTAGATCGCTATGGCCAGACGTTGTTGTGAGATCATCGTCGCCAAAATATGGGTGGCTCGGCTTATTTTGGAGAAGGTACCACTTGTTGGGTGGTTTGACAGGCAACCAAAAAACAAACAAAAGCACATTCTGGGGGTCCCCTAAAAAAGACACACCCACATAAATCCTCCTACTGTGGATCGAGTACTACTGTGGATGGATGCAAAATCCGTTCGCTAAGAAATCATGGTTGAAATCACTGTTTGTTCGTATTTACACGGGAATAGAATCAGAGACTAAACGGTGGGGCGAAACAGATTTCGCAACCATCCACAATATGAATCATTGTGACTGGGTAAAAGCACTGGAAAAGTATGAGTAGGTCAGCGACCCTCGCTGTTAAATACAAAGTGAGGCCGCGTGGCGTCTAGGACCTCCAGTAGAGAGGTTAGAATAAGGGTACCCTTTTTTCGTAGTCTGTGTTAGTAGGGGAACCCTCCCAACCAAAAAAAAAAACGGTACAAGGGCACTACTGAAACACCTAGGTTTGGTCAGACTGAAACCGAGGCGACACAAAAAAAACAAAACAAAAACCAATTCCCCATGTCTTTCCGTGCCTGAACGGCGGGCCAAACCTCGCTGATGCGAGACCAGGGGACCATCGTCTCCAGGGACTCCGAGAGGATGCGGAAATCCAAGCCGAAGTCCCTCACCCAGAGCTTAGGTGTGCTGTCTGGAAGCATGGTGTGAATCTGTGCATTTGGGTGGTGTAGAGTCGTTTTTTATGGGTGTCCCCCTTTTGTGGCTGGTTTTAAAGGAACACCAAAACGAAAACCGTTGCGCCATGTTGGGAGGGTCCGATCCCTAAAAAGGACTCGCACCCATATGTTCCCTGTTGCATCCTTCATTCCTGACATTGACTCACCAGGTCCATTCACCCCAACCTACAGTCTTGCTTCATAACCTGCACGAGCAAAAATCACCTGGAAGGGTTCGAAGGACTCAAAAAACTGGTTGGATGGATTCGAAAAGAGAACGAATGAAAAGCCCAAGCAGAGAATGAAAAGTCTCGCCTGTTCCAAATCCCTTGGCTTAATCGCAATCCGTCATCCGCTTCATCGGGGATTCGGTTTCGAACAAGCTAGCAAGTTCACTCTGCTACTAAAGACCAGCCCAACTTTAAAGGAATGAACAGTGCACTCTTTCTGGAACCACCCATACTGGCCTCATTACTTTATCATGATCAAAGTCACCCCTAAGTTGTGCGTTAAAGGGAAACAACCCCCATTTACTGACTTTGATAACTCCCAGAAACCGTCAAAATGATGACCCCACCCCTAGCCACCCCCATTCCTTGGATGCAAAGAATGGCGTTCTAGCTACCTGGAGTCTCCATGACCCTTTCAACATGTTTCAATGCCCCCAAAAGTTTGGGGCCATTGACCCCATTTTTCAAGGGGCAGAAGGAGACTCCAATCCATGCCTAGACTGGCGACATCTCCCACCTCAGGTAGGCGATGGCGAAGGTCAGGGCGTAGCCCGCGGCGCCCGAGGCGCTGCCGCCCCAGAGGCCGCCGAAGTTGGAGACGAGTCTCAGCTGGAAGAAACAGGAACCCACCATATGAGCTTCCGCTGATTACAAAGAAACTTCATTTGCGCATAGATGTTGGTTCTTTACTACATACATACATATATATATATATATTGTTTTATTTGAGTCGCAATCAAAACCCGGTATTAATGGTCTCCCGGAAAATTGCAAAGAAATGAAAAGGCGGCCGCACCCATTTATGGCTGAGATTGTCCCTTACAGCCCTCCAATTACCCGGGTTTTGAGTGTGACTCATTTGCGTTTTCGCCCCCTGGACAAAGTGAGAAATGCCCTTCAAAGCCAACAAGGGAAAAGAACATTCGTTTCAGCACATGTAAGAAATATTGAAACACGTTCCTCCTCTTCCCCCTCAAAACTGGGTGCAGCATATCCGACATGATCAAAGTTGCAAAAGCCACAGGGACCAGCGACTGGCCAAAAAAATGGCGGCTTCTCACCATAGGTGTCCTTTTTGGTTGAAAATAGATGGGGTTTTCTGGTAGTTGATTGAACCACCAGGTAAACCAGGAATCGCCCTCGATTCTTCAACCAAATCAACCAAAAAGGACACCTATGGTTCTCACGAAAGCCCCGCCTGGCGACCTCCTGCTTTTGCAGTTTCACCTCTGGGCGGCTGCCCTCAAAGACCAGAGTTACGGCAGCAGCCTCCGACAAGGACACGCCCTCAGGGTCTGAGCTTCCAAAAGACGGAGAAAAACATGTTGCGTTCATCAGGGAATGCTTTTCAGGAATCGCAATTTCGGACTTGCGGCCAACATGGTGGCCTTTCACAAAAGGAGGGCCTTTCCGGCACTAGCTACTCCCAATTCATGGTGCCTTTGCCACGCACACCGCCGAAAACCGCAAAAACAAAAAACCAAAAAAACGCGTCGCCGAAATTGCAACGAGTTCTCCTTCCAGGAGAGGAAGGCATCACGCAGGCTGGCGCGGAAATTCGCCAGCGCGCTGTTTTGGGCGGAGCCTTGCTTCAGCGCCTGCGCCAGCTGAAGCTGATTCTGGTCCATGAGCCTGGCGGCGGCCAAAATCGGATTGACGCGTGCGTCTTGTTCCATTGACGCGACCGATTCCAAAATTGAACTGAAAAAAGCTGACAGGGATGGAGGATCTTCATCCTATCGCGGGCTGTTGCGTGGACAGGATCGCATGTTTCAGGATGTTTTGTGTAAGCCGATCATAAGAGTCGCAACATACGCTGAAGCAACGCCAAATGGGAAGAGCCCTGCAGCACCCTGTCAAGAATTCTTGAATACATTGTTGTGTTAGTTGTTGGGAAAGCAACAGATGGCTGTGGCTCAGAAAAATGTGCCGAAAAGGCAGCTTGGTAAATGGAACCAATAAGACTAAAACCTGCGTAACCCCTGCTGTTTAATTTCGCGCCACGCCCAAATCAAAGAGACTCCACTGCGGAACCCTGGGGCCCGGGAAGTGTTTGCCAATTTTCCGCCCTCCTGCAGGAGGCCGGGCGCAGGCACGCGGGCAGCCGCGCCACCTCGCGCATCCAGGTGGCTCCCCGGTCCCAGTCTGGGAAGAGCACGCTTTGGTATTCCACCACCTGGCAGGAGGCTCACTGGTTGGAAGCCGCCATTTCCAAATGGCTGTGGTGGTCAAAACCGTTGTGGTTGATCCCAGTTTGGGTTGGATTGGGTGAATGCACCACCCATTTTAGGCTTCCTAGTTTAGTGGTTGGATTGGGATGTTCACTGGGGGTACGATTCGGAGTTTGACCCATGGCCATGTTGAGAGGGGTAATGTTGACCCAGGATTAACCAACCCGTCCCATTAGGGGGTGTTCCCTCCAAAAGTGGTCTGAATCCACACTAAAACGGGACACCCCCCTATAAATCAACCAGGGGTTTATTGATCCGGGGTTAACATTCACCCCAAAATGGAACCCTGATGAATAGAACCAAGGACTAAAACCTGCGGTCCATATCCTGGCGATTTGATTTTGATACCCAAATGGCACGGGATGGCTTGCTTGCTTGGCACAGGAGTTCCTGCTAGAGGGCTTGCTTGAGAAAAGGTATAGGCAAGATCTGAAATTGCGGCTCAGCAAATTCGCACGTCTCTGGTAAACAAACGCGGACAGGCGTGGACAGTCTGAATCAGCAACGTGTCTGTCCTCGGTTCTCTTCGCACCTGCTGACCTGCTAAAACAGGTTGCCTCAGAGAAATTGCAGTTGTGTAGTTTGGTACACTATGATTACCCAAAGACTCCCAGTCAAACCTCCATACTCTAGATGATGTTTTTCATCAGCAGTCACTTTACTCAAAGAAACCCGAACGGCTTCCTTTGAGGCGACTCAAAGCGTCATCCCCAGAGTTCTGTGCAACCTTGCGTGCAACTTGCCCGCGTTTCAAACCCGGCCCCCAACCCCCACAACCCCCCCACCCCCCTACTTACAACTCCCCCCCCCCCCCGACCCAGAAGAACCCCCAAAACCCCCACCCCACCCCCCCACAACCCCCACCCCACCCCACCCCAGAACCGCCCCCCGCCTGCGGCAAAGGCCTGACCCGCACCACCGCCGCCGTGACCACCCCCAGGCACCCCTCACTGCCCAGCACTAGGCCCGGCAGAGCCAGGTTGGTGCTGGCACGGCCAATGGAGGTCTCTGCCTAACCGCCGAAAGCGAACCGGAGGCGAAACGGAGGGCGCATAGGGGCGTCCTTTTGGAGTTGGTACCCTTTTCAGGGTTGGTGTGAAGGCAAACCAAAAGGAAACATAGGGGTGTCGTTTGTTTGGAGCTACCCTTTTATGGGGTCGGGTCAAAGATAAACCAAGAGGAACAACACCATTTTGCGGGGACCGCTAAAAGAAAGAAACACCCTTTTTGTCTGCTAGTTCCAACAAAGGCGACCCTGGGAAATGGCCGCCCCCTTGGGCGCGATCTAAACCGCACTTGCCTGGCCAATCGTTACGAATGGTCGCGAGATGAAGGCCCTCTGCATGCTGTGCCGGTCGAGTCAGTTTGTTCAACCGCCGCACCCAGAAATTGCACCCAATTGCATCGAGGCGTGCACGATTCGACTGCGGCTCAACAAGTGCTTTTGCTTCGGGAGGTCTTTTGATATGCGCTGTTCCTTCATCCCGAACCCCTTTGGGCCAAACAGCCCAAAGGCGCACATCACGAGGCTCCCTGCCTGGGCTGGGTCCCCATGGCGTTGCCAAATGGTCCCACCAGGAGTCGCCAGTCGAACCTCCAGCACCATATCCTCGGGACCGAGAGGTTTGGTGCTCTGTGCAGCCTAAAGCTCCATTCATTCAAATGATGTTTTGTGATACCTCATTCTGCAGGTCCGAAAGCAACAACCTGCCTTGCGCGTTCTCTTCCGCTTGTTGAGTCCAACACAGACAAGCCACCAATTCTGATCAACCCCTTGTCGCGTGATAGCTGGGTTTGCCGCCCGACCCCAATCTGGGTATGGGTCAAAATTAAACCACCAGGAGACCGCATGTTTTAGTCTTTGGTTCCATTTACCAGCGTTCCATTTTGGGTACGTATTTTTGACCCACAGCCATCTGTCTGTGATGCAAGAGGTACCACCCAACACCGTTTCAGCTGCCAATCGCCGAGCATCTTCGATGTTGCCGTACCGCGCCCGCTTCATCCCGCTGGCTCTTGTTGCGATCCATCCTCGCAAGAGAAGTCTTGGCCGTGTGTTTCCACAAAACATAGACCTGCGGCGACATTGTCAAATGAACTGCGCAGGCGATATGACCAAAGTTCAAAAGATATCCGTTGGGCTGAGGCCTGTTCGCAAGCAACAGGAGCAGCAAAACAAACCCCAATGGTCCTCCCAAGGTGGACAGCTCCATGGAATCTGGTTCCATGCCCATAGTGACACTGAAGAGCTCTAGGGCCTTCTTCAGCTCCACGCCAGTAATTCCTGCCTCAATCATGGCCACCCCATCTTCCGCGTTCACCCAGAGCACACGGGAGAGCCCACGCATGTCCAAAGCCACCATTGGTCTGGGGTCCACCTAGCTGGCGCTCGGCGAGCAATCGATTCTCACCCGTGATGCTGTGGATGAACGAAATCCGTTCGCACCACCTAAGAAATCATGGGAAACCATTGTTTGTTGGTATTTACATTGGACTCATCATTCCAGGGTTTCTTAGGTGGTGCAGGATTTCGTCCATCCACCGTAGCTTTCAGGCGCCTGCACGATTTGTTTCCGTTTGCTCCGCGCTTGCCTGATGCGAGACTTGCCAGTTTCATCCTGCGTATGTTCGGTCTGCGAGAAAACCACGGTTGATCGCTCTCTCTCGCTCGCTCTCTATCCCTATCTCTCTCTCTCTCTCTCTTTCTGTGAAAGCTCTCCGTGTGTGTGTGTGTGTGTGTGAACCACCTCTAACAAGCTCTCAACGGCACTGTACAAATAAGCCGAATCTCCGAAACCCAAAAGTTCCTAAACTTCCTTGGGCTCAAATCAGAAACGAGCATCATGCTAGAACCCAATAGCTCCAGCCAGGCGTGATATCTTGGCCCAACCCCAAGGCACGGCCTCGAAAGGCGGGCACTTGGTGGCGGAGGTCACGTTGGTGCGTCCACCCACCGGGATGACCCCGAAGCCATCGCCACGAGCAGCGGCCTGCTCCGGAACTCCAGGCAGATGGCGGTTCCGTCCATTTTTGGAATCTGAGCCCTCCAAAAATGGGAGCGACGGTTTTCCTTTTGGCTTCCCTTTAAATGCACAAAAAACAATACCCCCCAAGTATTTTCGGGGTCTCAAAAACCAAATATGACCCACCCTGATGGATGTTTCTCAAAATTATTGGCTTCCTCCGGAGAATTTTGCTTCCCTTTGGCTTCCCTTTACCAACGTTAACGAAGGGCTGTCCTCAAAACAGACTGACCCATCTCATTCAAAGGTCATGGATCCAGCGGCAAGGGCCACATGCCCTTCCCACTAACACGGAACCCACGGGGTTTTCCTTTTATCCGAAAATGTCTCTTACCCCAAGACCTGAACTTTCCAGTGGAGGCCCGGGGTTTTCAGACCGGAGCGCTCCATCGGAGTCCTACTTCCGGTCCCAGTCACCGCCCTGCGACCCCCCCCCCCCCCGACCGCCTGCAGCAGCGCTTCCACCTCCGCCTCGCTCTCGGGGCGCACCACCGCGTCGAAGAACCGCCCCGGCTCTCTGCTGCGGAGCCTCGCATGGGTCAAAATTAAACCAGGAATCGGACCGCAGGTTTTCATCCACATGTCCACTTGCCAGGCTTCCATGTTGGGTACCTATGTTGGACACACGGCCACATCGCGGTGGGCTCACCGATTGGACGGCCCCAGACTCGCCCGCTTTTTGACCTCCTGCGGACGAAATCCGTGCTCACCACAAAATAAAACCATGGTTGAAACCAGTGGTGTTTAGTATTTACAGGGGAATCCTCATTTGAAACCAGGGCTGCTTAGGTGCAGGAGTTCGTCCATCCACAGCATGAATCTGGGCTGTCCGTTTTCAGATCCCCTGCTAAAAGTTTCACTTGCTAGGGGTGGTGAGTTTCCCTTGGGGTGATGTTTTGAGAGCCCTAGTGTGGATGGACGCGAAATCCGCTTCTCGCGCCACGAAATGAAACCATAAGGCAATGGTGAACTCACTCCACTCTGTGTTGGGCTTAGAGACATGCAATGGTGGCTTGCAAACCCATGAGGGGAAAATAAAACATATTCTTAACCAAATGGAAGCCATGCTTCCTCCAACTGCCTTTCTTGAAGCCGTTCATTATTTGGATGCCCACGGCATGGCTTGAAGGCAAATCTTGCAGCAACTCATTTGTGCGCAAAACGCTACCCTCCTTAACATGGAACCTCACGTGTTGGCCGTCCTGGAAGACAATTGTCCTTTAAAAGTGATCTCCTGGTTGTCAGTGGACTGGAGGGTAGAATATGCAGTGAACAACCAACCCTCGTCACCATCCCTTTAAGTATCTACCCTGACCAGCGCAAAACAATCATGGCGCATCATGGCGCAATTATGAACGCCACTACTTCTAGTCAACATGAAACCAGTGCAAATAACGATACCATCGATAATCTCATAAGATCACAACATTACTGTAGTGAAGTCACCGTGACTCCAGTGATGGTAAACATATCAATCAGTATCCATCAAATATCAACACCAACCAACAGCATCAACCAGTATCAGTATCAATCAATGTCAAGAAAAAGAAGAAAAAAAAAAAAGCAACTCAAATCAATCTCAACGCAGATTTCGTCTATCAACACACTGAGCATTTCGCACCACCCAAGACACCCTGGACTGAGTCGATTGCCCTGTAAATACCAACCAACAACGGCTTTCCATGATTTCAAGTTGGTGCAGGATTTCGTCAATCCACCGCAGGGTTCCCCATGTTTCTTCTTAAAACATCACTCCGACCAAGGGAAACTCACCTTGTCGGCCACAGTGAACCATGGCTGTGAATTTTACAACTGAACACCTCCAAATCAGTGGACATGAATCCCTAACTGATGTCCACCAAAAGGTTCCTACAGTTCCACACCCATCTCTCTTACCAGCAAAAACGCGCCGCCCACCGCAGGGCGGCAATCTTCTCATAGCTCGTTTCCTTTGGGCTTCCCAATCTGAAACCAACCCATTTTGGGGGGTCTCCCACGGAAACAAAAAAAAGAAAAAAATACAAACAAAAAAAGAAAACAAAAACTCGCTCCGCACAAAAACAAAAACAAAAAACAAAAAAAACGGGCGCCGCCCCCTCAGCCGGGCGGCCGCCAGACATCCGCCAGGCCATGCCCGGCGCCCGCGCGGATCCGCGCGAAGCTGTCCAGGCGCAGGCGCTCCGCGGGCAGCGCGGCCTCCAGCGCTTCTCGCAGCGCCGTGGGGACCTGCCGGGTGGAAGGCCTGAAACTAATGGAAATGGTATTTTTCATTGCTTTGGAAGGCCTGGAAATCATGGAAATTGCATTTTTCATTTTTTTGAAAGTTCGAGGGGTGGACTCCCGGACCTATCGTTCAACCAGAAGGTGTTTTCTGCTTTCAATACCAGTGGTTGAACGACCCAAGAATGTTCTAGAAGGCATTCTTTTCAACCATCGTTCCTTTGAAAAAAAACAGCCGTTTTCCTTGGGTTTCCGGAGGTTTTCTCGAAATAAGGGTCCCTGGAAAGAATGGACATGGAAGCGAGCTACCCCTGGAAAAGAGAGAAGCCACTGGGCTGCCCGTGTTCAGATCCCCCGCTGAAAGTGACGAACTTCTTCGTGGAAATGGAAATCCGAGCAAACCAAGTAGAAAGATCTAAGGAACCGGATGGCTAGTTTGGAGCCGCCAAGAGGCTCCGAAACAACGGGTGAAACGGGAAGAGGTATCCAGGTGATTCTTCTTAACCAAGAATCACTGGATTCGCCTTCCAAAGTTGAAGTGATTGAGGTTGACGGAGTGCAAACAAACCTCCCTATTGATAAGGGTGTGTTTGCTTTGCTGTGATGAAACCAAAGGGTTGGTGTAGGGTTTGCTTAGGCTATATTTGCAGGGGACAACCAGGATTTCCCCTTAAGTTGCAATTTACTGGTGGTGTCCATTGGAACAAACTTTTTTGTTGAAGGTTGCAGGAGGTTGTGTAACCAAACCAAATGTTCATAGTTCAGCAGATCTGCTTGCTTTTTATAACCTGTTTCACCACCGAGGCTTGGAATGTTTAACCACATAAAACTGCGCCAACAAACCACGGTTCGTGGAGGTGTCTCACCAAATCAGTTTACTCTGTTTCCACGTTTTTGCTCTTCGGAGGTTTCGCTTGAAGTGTTTCACTGTTTCACATGTTGTTTAACATTGTTTACCCCGCCTCCCAGCAGAATGCATTTTTCCTCCGAACGGTTCCAACTAAACTTTCTTCCATGGAAGCCCCCAGGAACCCTTTGGAAGACCCGGATCCATTTGTGCCAACTTGCTTTAAACAACACATCCCTCTATCCTTCAAAGGGGACAAACATGATTGAACCAACCTCCACATGGTCTGTCTTTTCTTAAGCGACCCCCAACAAATGGTGGTTCAACTTGTGCTTTTTCCTTTAAGAAACCAACCGACAATTGTCGGGGGTCCAACAAACAAAAACGAGCCACCCACATGGCACCCACGGCGCCTGCGGCAGCTCGAACAGCGGTCGCTCTGGCAGCACCTCGCCAAGGGGGGAAGAACAAAAACAAAAAAAAACAAACGGTGCGCGGAGATCAAATTTAGGTGGGGGATTCCCTATGTTGGACTGGCTCCCTCCTAGGTCAAAAACAAAGCAACAGCTAGATGTGTGTCCACCACTTTGCACTGGTTCCCTACTACACTTGTTAGCCATATCTGCGCGTTCGGACGAAGAAATGAAACGGAAGAAATACCGCAACGGCCTGTGATTCGTGCGATCGGGGCGATGGGGCAAATGAGACATGGAACGATCCCTCAAAAAATGTATATTAATTATATATATACAATAATAATGATAATAATAATAAAACAACTGGTGGTGTCCTAGGGGACCAAAGCCTGCGCTTCGCTCCCAGATTTTCACTACTGAGCACCAAGGGGAGTCAAATGTCAAAACCCATCAGTATTAATTTCGTCGATACCCAGAACCATGTTTCAGGAATATCTTTAAAACAAAAAGGCGGCACCCATGTATGGTTGGGATTATCCCTTACTAGCCTTCATCTACACGGGTTTTGATTGACTCGAGGCTTGTGGAAAAATAATCACTTGGACACAATTGATTTTTTTTGCGGCCTTGCATCAAAATTGTACCGTTTGCATAGCCTCCAAGGTCCTGCCTGCCTAAAGTGTGTGGCTGGTCCGAGTTTGAGTAGACCGATACATTCGTAAATGTTGTGATATATTTGGCACTATTCTCTGTGCAATGAGAGTAATTACACTGTGTGTGTGTGTTGATTCTCAACGGTTGTGGAAAAGTCTAGGTGCCTTCCATTCTCTTTGACAACGACGAGATCACACTCACACGCGCAGTCTCATACTCTCGCATCAGTTCGGAAGATGTGAAGAAGTGAAAGCGGTCAAAAGCTGCTTTGCCGGACCACTTCTCATGCCATCCTTGGTCTGAGCTGGGACAAGTTTGCATTTGAGATGAACATGGCATGAGGATACCCTCCTTGTCAGAAGCCTTGGCCGGCTTTCGGGGGGGCGAACCTCAGCACACCTGAGGTGGAACATGCGAGCAGCATGGTCAATCCTGTGCCAAGCATGGTCAATCCTGTTTCTTCATGGTCGTGGGACCCAAATTGCTTGTTTGTCAAGGGCCGTTCCCCTGGGTTTTTGTTGAGGTTTTCCAGAAAGAAGGATCCCGAATGATATCGTCCCGCTTAGCTCCATTGTTCTCTACTTCCAATCAGAAACGTCGCAGTTCCCTGGCATCGCCTCAAGATGTCTAACCATTGAAAGCCCACTTTGGCGGCTGTTTGGATGCAGGACCATTTCGGGAAAAGTATCCACTAAACAAGAAACGCGCTTGGGGATGGCCACAAAGGGGCTTCTCAAAATAGTCCCCTCAAATCTTTGCTTCAAGGGGCAGGGTGCCTCGGAAGTGGTTAGCAAGCCTGGTTCTAGTCCACTTAGGATACTTCACCAGCTAACATGGAAGTGCACAGACCCCTGTAGAAAGACTACTTTCGTCTTGGAAAGGGCCTTTTTGCACTTCCATGTTAGTTGGTGGGAGGGTAAGTGGTTTCCTCTTGGTGTCCCTTTGAAATTCGACCAGCAAGTTCCTCCTGGTGTCCCTTTGAAATTCAGTGCCATGTCCTCTTGCTGTATCCTCTTAAGTGCTTTCTGCTCCCCTGCTACAAGTTTAACACGGAAAACCCATTCGTTGGCAAAAAGTGATTCAGTCCCGAAATCCCTGGGCAAAATGCACCAAAGATTGTTTCAGTGGCATGCCTGAACCCCAGGCGGGCCCTAGAGCTCAATTGACCGAGGACTTCAGCCAGACGAAATGCACCAAAGATTTTGGCGTCCCTCGTGTCCCTTCCGCCGGGCCGCGTCCCGCACGTTCAGCGGCACGCAGAGCTGGCGCTGGAAGAGCTCCCAGAGCTGGAAGAGCGGCTGCCGGCCCAAGGCCTGCGAAGCGAATCGGCGCGCGAAGCGAAGCGACGCGCGCGAAGCGCCCGGAGGCGCCGACCGGCGCGCCGTTTTCGGAGGAGGAGGGGAAAAGAGGTGCTAGATGGGCAGCCTCACCTGTCATGGGCCAAAAAGGTGATGCTTTAAAAATAAAAAATGGGGAATAGGGTCCTAGCTGGATCGCCAGTTTCTGCTTTTTGCCATGAACTTTACCCCAAAAAACCAGCAATAGTGACTGAACAAAGCAGCAACTTGGCTATCATGGCCATGGGTCAAAATCCAAATCCCGTACCCCCAGTGAACATCCCAATCCCTTCTAAAATAGGTTCCAAAATGGGTGGTGAATTCACCGACCAACCAAAATGGTACCATGGGTTTTGACCCACAGCCACATAACGGGGCATCGTCATAGGTGTCCTTTTTGGAAAATAGATGGGTTTCCCTGGTGGATGATTGAACCACCAGAAAAAAAACCAGGGCCTTCTATTCTTTAAGCAAAACAACCAAAAAGGACACCTATGAGCATTGTACTTAGAAAGTGGGTAGCAACCATGGCTAAAACCCACTTACTATATTTGTAAGTCTTCCAAGTGGGCTCTAGCCAGGCTTACTAACCACTTACTAATTAAGTACTCTGCCCCTTTAAGCAGGACCTGTCCCCCTTGGACCTTTCGTGGGTTTAATGGAAAACACAAAGACTTGTGTTGCCAAAAGATCGTTGTCTCCTTTTGGGCGATTCGGTCAAAGACCGAATTGCAACGGTTTAGATCTTGAGACTCGTGAGCTGAAGGGCAATACGATCTTGACCTCGCGTGGCTGGTTTCAGCCTCGATCTTGCATGGAAATGTTCTGATTGATAGACGTTCGTTGCTGTTGAAGGGCGCCCAGGTAAGCAGTTTTGGGGCGGGGGTCCCAAGTTGTTGGCGTCACTGCTGGGCCTCATGGCGTTTAACCCCCACCCCCCAACACCCCACCGCCCAACATCCACCCCCCCTCCCCCCGCCCACCCCCCTTTCCCAAGTTTGGGTGCGCCCCCGTTGCTGCGAGCAACGGCAATGGGCGGATGGCCTTGTACCTCTGCGAGGTGATCTGCGCGGCGGGGCGGCCGTCCACGTACTGTGCCACGAACTTGGTGTCTTTGAAGCCCCAGCGGTCCAGGCACTCCTCGTCCTTCAGCTCCGCCTGCGGCCGGCCCCGCGGTTGGAAAATCCAGCGGTCCAACGTATGCGGTTTAAAGGGGCGATCAATTCGGTACGTCAGGAAAGTGGTTGGAATCACAATGGTGAGATATGCCACAAAAGCCAGGGTTATGAGTATCCCAAGTGGATTATCACTAGGCGTACTGACCACTTGCTAGGTACCTGATCCCCCCTTCAAGTAGCTGACGTTAGCTGTTGAAGTAGCCACTAGTTGGCCAAGCTCAATCGCCCTTTTGGTGCTTAAGCGATTTAGCAGGAATCAGATCCGCGAGTTGTTTCGGTAGCTCCGAAAGTTCACAGACAGTTTCTGAGGGTCGACCCATCCGAGTGCACAGCGATCGAGGCTAAAACAAAATAGCTTCAAGCAAGAACAAAGAGCGACCCTGCCGAAAACCACAAAGGGTTCAACACCTGATGGTTGTACAAAGGGTTCAACACTTGATGGTTGTGAAACAGTGTCGGTCCCGGCGTCCGAATTCGTTCCAAGACCGCCACGAGACTGCTCCAAAAATGCTTCTGTCCGGCGCGGCAAAAGGTGAAGTCCCACTTCATGCACAGGGCCACACTTTTCCACCCATGCCAATTCCCGAACTCTCGAGTTGCCAGCTCCTGTCGCATCCGCCTCATGAAGAAATACTATATTCCTTGAAAACAAGCTTAATTAATCAGTTCCAGTGGAATTGTTTCTAACTTGTGTTGCAAAGCAAACAACTCGGTGCTGCAGTAGTTCCTTGTTTCTCAGTGCTTGGCGAGTAGTTGTTCTGAACTGATCGTGTTTTGCCGATATGTTGTGTTCTTTTAAAATCATCCCTACTCGCTAATAAATAAAGGCTAGCTATCATTAAATTGATGCCAACCGGTTTCGTGTCGGTCAACTAAAGATTAGGCCTTTGACACCCCTTTGATCAAACGAAACAACCGCAAGAAAAACAAGCACAAAATCTTCCCTCCTTCCCACAGTCCTCCTGTGCTGGCCACAGCAGCGTGACAGCGCTGGGCTGTCGTGGCTTGCCCTTCCTCACAAAAGGCCATTGAAAAGCTCCAAAGCTGTGGTTCGCCTGCCTTTGTGTGTGTGCGGGTTGACGTGCCTTCGTGTACTTGTGCGTCCTCTGTTGGCTTGTGTGCATATGTTTTAATTGAGTGTGCAGTGGGCTTGTTCGTGTTTTCTGTTGTGTGTAGTGTTGGATTGTTTGTGGCTGTTTGTGTGGCTTGTCTGGTGTGTGGTTGTGTGGTTGCGTGTGTTGTGTGTTTGTGCATGTCTGTGTGTATTCGTGTGTTTGTGTTTGGGTGCACGTGTCTAGGTGTGCTTGTGTGCTAGTGCGCCTAGTGCATGTACGATGTTGTGTTTGTGTTTGTGTGTGTGTGTGTTTGCGTAGTTGTGTGTGTGTGTCTTTTCGTTTGTGTGACGGTGTGTATGTGTGTGTGTCTTCCATACAAATTGCACGTGCCATGCACCTTCATAATTCACATGGCTCCTATTCATTGATGCAAAACGCAGGGGCAACAGGATTGCACCCACAAATGTTCACCGATGTAATGCAAGGCAACACTGTGGATGGCTGCGAAATCCATTTCACACCACCAAAACAAACTGGAATCCTTTAAATACGAATAACAAAATGGTCTTCTACGGGTTTTAAGCGGTGCGAACGGATTTCATCCACGGGATGGCACCCCTTCATTGCACCCGTGGCAGTGAATCAGTTCTCAGCTACAGCTCTCAGGTTACCCGCAGCAGCATAGACTAGGTGGCCTTTGGCCCGGGTAAATGGAATGAAACCAACCTAAAGCAGGGCGCTCGGCAAGGCAGACTCAGGCTTGTCCGCAACTCAGCCGTCAGAGAGAGAGAGAGAGAGAGAGAGAGAGAGAGAGAGAGAGAGAGAGAGAGAGAGAGAGAGAGAGAGAGAGAGAGAGAGAGAGAGAGAGAGAGAGAGAGAGAGAGAGAGAGAGAGAGAGAGAGAGAGAGAGAGAGAGAGAGAGAGCGAGAGAGAGCGAGAGGAGAGGAGGGAGGGAGGGAGGGAGGGAGGGAGGGAGGGAGGGAGGGAGGGAGGGAGGGAGGGAGGGAGGGAGGGAGGGAGGGAGGGAGGGAGGGAGGGAGGGAGGGAGGGAGGGAGGGAGGGAGGGAGGGAGGGAGGGAGGGAGGGAGGGAGGGAGGGAGGGAGGGAGGGAGGGAGGGAGGGAGAGAGAGAGAGAGAGAGAGAGAGAGAGACAGAAGGGAGAGAGAGAGACAGAGAGAGAGAGAGAGAGAAGCTGATCTAAACCAGTGGAAGCCATCTATTTTCTAAAATCCAACTCACCGTTCAAAAGGACACCTATACACGCAATAGTGTGCACTTGAGCTCAGGGCTGCGATGAATGCTTCATGCCTGTTGGCCTCAAAGGCCAAGAATGAAGCGACGGAAGCCAAAGCGCCGGCTCACATAAACCGCCCAACTGAGGTGGCCCAACCTGCCGCCCAAACGTAATAGCTCCCCTTGAAACATCGCCAAGGCAAAACTCACTTAGAATTGGCCCCAAAAAGATGATGAACGGTTCACCTGAAAAGTGGAATGCGCGATGATACAAGGACCCTTAACCATAGAAACCCGAACCCCCCCCCCCCCCCGGCTTAACTGTGCAGGACCTGGCTCGCAATGCTTGAGCGCAAAAGCACCTAACCTGCGCTGTCCATTTTCAGATCCCCCGCCAAAAGTGACGAACTTCTGGGTTAAGCTCCGGAAACCGCCACCACCAAACCAACCAAAAGCAACTCAAAACAACCACCAAACCAACCAAAAACAACTCAAAAACAACTCAAAACAACTCAAAAACAACTCAAAACAACTCAAAACCTCTCAAAAACAACTCAAAACCTAAGGACCCCGCCCGGCTTTGCACCTCCCCAAGCGCCCCCCACGCCAAGCGTCGCCACGCCGCCGAAGGCGCCGAAGCCTTTCGCCGCCACCACGCAGGCGGCGCCCCGCGCCAAGGGCGGGGGGACGGCCGTGTCTTGGCTCAGCAGCTCCTGCGGTCGGTGCAAACTGCGCAAGGTTTGGCCACCCTTGGCCACCAGGGGTGTCCTTCTTGGTTGAAAATTGGGGGTTTCCCTGGCTTGTTGGTTGAAAAGTGAGGGGTTGCCCTGGCTTGTTGGTTGAAAAGTGAGGGGTTTCCCTGGCTTTTTGGTTGAAAAGTGAGGGGGTTCCCTGGCTTTTTGGTTGAAAATTGAGGGGTTTCCCTGGCTTTTTGGTTGAAAGTTGAGGGGTTTCCCTGCTTCTTGCTTGAAAAGTGAGGGGTTTCCCTGGCTCTTTGCTTGAAAAGCGAGGGGTTGCCCTGGCTTCTTGGTTGAACATTGAGGGGTTTCCTGGCTTTTTGGTTGAAAATTGAGGGGTTTCCCTGGCTTTTTGGTTGAAAATTGAGGGGTTTCCCTGATTGAACCAGGTAAACCAGGAATCGCCAGATATTGCTTAGCCAAATCAAGCAAAAAGGACACCTATGTTGGCCACCACAAGTCTTATCGGCTCATGGGAATCCACAGCCAAACAACCTAAAAGCCTGAAAGCATGGCAACAGTGGCCAGGGTATATCTTCCGCAAAATCTCAAAATTGTCACTTGCTACCACCAGAGAGGGGCACCCTGAATAGAAAAAAACACACACAAAACGCTAGGTGCTTCTCTGGAAACATGGACAAAATCCACGATCGGCGCCAGTCATAGATGAAACTTACCCTATGGAAATGAGAACGTGACAAAACACCCATCAACTGGTCCAGGATTTTGTCCATTCACAATATCACTGGCCCAAGGGAAGGGGCGACATTGTGGTGGGGCGAGAGAGAGCCGGAGCTGCTTGTCATTGGAGAGAGGCATGGCATACTCCATTCCTTCGATGATGCTCCAAAATGATGCTCCAAGCATATGGCAGCGGACATCAAAAAAGGCACTCCCACTTTTAAACATGCCTTGCATGACGCATTCGGTCTCCAAACGACAATTTGGGTCGCAACAGAGTGACCTTCGAAAGAGACCACGCAGGGACTTGATCCAGAATACACAACAGTTCGACTCCAAATGTCCGGTTTGGGCTGTTACATGGCCTCGTACTGTGGATGGAGAAAATCCTGCACATTGTTGGTTGGTATTTACAGGGAATCATCATTCCCATCTTTCTTTAGGTGGTACGAAATGGATTTCGCAACAAATTCACAGAAACTGTTGTTGCTTCTCCATGTTCGATGGTGCCAACCAGGCCCACCGAAGCTGCTTCGCACAAAATGAACGCCCATTTGAGGAGGATAAACCACCAATCCCTGCGCTTAAAGTGGATGTTGTCCAGGGCACTCCAAGAATTTGCAGTGTTTTGCCCCTGCCTTTGATTCTCACCAAGCCACTCTTTACCCTTCGGCCACATCGTGACACGTGGCATGTGGCCTGAGACGCCCCTCGCCCTCGCCGCGCGCGTCCTGCAGCAGGTGCTCCTCGGTGACCTCCTGCACGCCGCTGCGCCGCAGCGCCTCGCTGCAGAGCCGCGCCGCGGCCTCCGCGGTCTGCAGCTGGGCGCAGAAGGCCCCGCAGAGCTCCGCCAGCGACGCCGGCGGAGCGCCGCCTCGCGGAGGCGCCGGTTTCGGCGGCGTTCGGCGTTCGGCGGAATTCAGCGGCTTGGAGTCTTGTCTGATGGCCGAAGGGCTATGAGACATGTTTGGAATTCAAAGTGAGACCCGTGTTTCTTTTGCTTGATTGTTTTTTATTTTTTTCTGGGGGGGGGGGACGGGTCTCCGCGACGGCCGTCTGCCTGGCTCCTCTTCGCTGAGTCCCTCCACCAGCCATCGGCCCCAGGCCCGCGGCAGGCGCCGCCGCAGCGGCGGCAGCGTCGCCGCCTGCAGCGCCAAGGCCCAGCGCGCCGCCTCGGGCAGCGGCGAAGGCGGCACGGCCAGGCGCGAGGGCCTGGCTTGCGCCTTGTCCCTGCAAGAAATCATTGGATTTGCTGGAGGTCGCGGCATTCTTCGCCTCCCTCTCAATCTATATCTATATCTATATCTATATCTATATCTATATATGTATATCTATATCTCTATTTTATCTGTCTGTCTGTCTGTCTGTCTGTCTGTCTGTCTGTCTCTGTCTGTCTGTCTGTCTGTCTGTCTGTCTGTCTGTCTGTCTGTCTGTCTATCTATCTATCTATCTGTCTCTCTCTCTCTCTCTCTCTTGCTCTTCCTTGTTTTTTGCATTCTTCCTCAAATCGGAGACCCCGCCTGTAGCTGTGCATCTCTCTCCTAGACCAACACGCGTGGGGCCCATGTGGGGCCCTTTCCACGCTCCGATTCCTCGACTGCACCGCTCGCCTCACGGGCAGCTGCGACGCCTCCATGGCCTCGAGCACCTTGGGCAACGGCAGCTCCAAGGTCTCCGCCAGCGCCTGGCAGTGCAGCGTCGTCACCGAGGTGAGATCCACCTCAGCGAGCGTTTCGCTCGAGCGCGCGAGCGCGCGCGAAGGGAGCGAGCGAACTGCGCGCCAAGATCAAAGGCGCGAGGATGGTCCGTGCCCCCCCCAAAAAATGGGTGCCCCCCCCCCAAAAAAAAAGAAGGATCGGAAGCCAAGAATCGAAATCCAACTCCATTTCCCATTTCGCCATGGAAATCCCGTACCCCCAGTGAACATCCCAACCCCCACTAAAATCGGTTCTACAATGGATGGTGAATTCACCCAATCCCCAAAGTGGGATTCCAAAACGGTTTCGACAACCACTTCCCCTTTCCCCCGACCAAAAATTTTCTCACCGAGGGCACCAGCTGGCGCTGCACCTCGCTCACCAAGGTGTCCAGATCCGAGGAGGCCTCCAGCTTCTGGGCGCTGCCGAAGCTCAGGTGGGCCTCGGGTTCGCGGCGTCGGGCGGGCGTGACGTGGCAGAGGCGTCCCGGCGAGTGACGGAGCCTAGGCGGCGATTCCTGGTCCATTCTTTTCAACCATGGTTCTTTTCAACCAAAAACCGGATCTGTTTCCTTTTCAACCAAAAACGGGATCTGTTTCCTTTTCTCAAAAACCGGATCTGTTTCCAACCTGGGTTTTTGAGGGTTTCCTGAAAAGAAGGATCCCTGGAAAGAATGGGGAAGGTACCCCTAGCCCCTGTTCTTTGCACCGAAAAGGCCCTAGGCTTCGGGGTTTCGGTTCCAGGCCACTAGACCTTCCGTGACGCTGTTGCGACCAAACCGCATTCTTTGACCCCGGCGGGAAACGATCGCTAAAGCGAACGTGTGACCCATTACCCCCTTTTCTGGTGGTTTTAAAGGAAGACCAAAAGGACACCCACCATGTTTGGGGGGGTCCAACCTCAAAAAGGACACACACACCCACAGAACCACAGTTTTTGTTGGGTCCAACCAAAAAGACGCGCCCAGATGGCCATGGGTCAAAACCCCGTACCCCCAGTGAACATCCAAATCCCCACTAAAATCGGTTCTAAAATGGGTTCTGCTAACCTACCCCAAGATGAGATCCCATTGGTGTTGACCCACGGCCATATGGGGGTTGATCAAACTTTTAGCTGAAAGACTCCCAGCTTTGACCATGGGCAGAGCCTTTTACCATTGGTGTGGACCCACGGCCAATGAAATTTCACCGGGCATGGTCCGATCCTCTCCCAGCGCCGGCAGCTCTCCGCGCAGGCCGCGCAGCACCCACCAGAGCAGGCCCAAGGTGGAGAGGGGGTCCCGGGGCTGACCGCACATCTCCTTGTAGAGGCTCTCCTCGTGGGGTGGGGTGGGGTGGGGTGGGGTGGGGTGGGTGGGGTGGGGTGGGGTGGGGTGGGGTGGGGTGGGGTGGGGTGGGGTGGGGTGGGGTGGGGTGGGGTGGGGTGGGGTGGGGTGGGGTGGGGTGGGGTGGGGTGGGGTGGGGTGGGGTGGCCCACACAAATCAAACTTGGGAACTTGATTGAAGAAAAACAAACTCCCCAGCAGCAGAACAAGAACCTTCGAACATGAGATTGGATCAGGGGAATGCTTTGTTCGGAACAGGGAGTCGGCATGCTAGCCAAACCGCAGAACTAGTCAGACACTAGCCGAGATGTTTGGATTTGTGGGAAACAGCAAAGACGTGGCATTCGCTGGCTACACGCTTGCATATGCGTGGCAAAACCATTTCACACACATACAATCACGAGTGTTGTCTCGTATCACCAAGCAGGCAGTCTGTGTCTGCGCCCTTGGCGTGGTATGACCTCAATGATTTGATGCTTCTTGTCTTCACGGCCGCAAATTCAAACCAGCTTACACAGCTTACACGCCTGGCAACCTGCAATAGAGGATCTAGGGGCCTATGGCGATCTCGGGGCTAGTATCCGACTGAGATTAATGCGATCCGGCTACGGATTCCTGCATCCAGGATAAAGGACTGGATGTTTGAATACAACATTCTCCCCATGTGTCCCCAATGGTCGTGTGCATGGAACTAAAAATCAGGATGCCATGAACTTGCGGTTGCAAGGCTAGATGTGCGGCTGTAACCCCAAAGGTGAAGCAGCGCATCGACACACATCCGCCTTCTGTCATCAGCCGGGAACGGGAAACGCGGAGAAACACGAACCATCAGTCAGGAGAACCTTCCATTGCAGTCACCAGAGATTGAAAGCCTCTGTGACAAACACACCCCTGGTTGTTCCCTTTAGAAGTAAATCAATTTACTGCTGGTGTCCACTAACATGCCACTTTTGGAGGTTCCCTCAAGTTTCAGAAGTTTAAATCCGAGGGCCCTGGAGTTCATAGGACGGAGCAACGACAGAACCTGACACAGAGCAGAAGCGAAAGGCCGCCTTGCATGAATCTGAATGAAATAGTCCACCAGCTTCACATATGGAACATCAAACCCAGAAACCATGCCCAGTGGTCGTTTGCTCCCTCTGTGAGGCCGCTCCATTTTGTCTAAATGGACCTTCCAGCGTGCAAGTTGGCTAGCAGGTTACGCCAAGACACGTCTTCAGGCAGCAGCTCGTAAGACAGAGCCAGGGGTACCAGCTGCACTGTTCGCTGCGAGATGTCCCGCAATGCCTGGCCAGCCCAAAAGAGCCCTGCCCCTGCGCTTGCTTTGTATGAAGTTGCTTGCTTGCTTGCTTGCTTGCTTGCTTGCTTGCTTGCTTGCTTGCTGGCTGGCTGGCTGGCTGGCTGGCTGGCTGGCTTGGCTGGCTGGCTGGCTGGCTGGCTGGCTGGCTGGCTGGCTGGCTGGCTGGCTGGCTGGCTGGCTGGCTGGCTGGCTTGTTTTGCTTGTGTGCTTGCCTGCTTGGCGGCTGGGTCGGTTTGGTACAATTCAGTATTTGTTTGAGTCTTCCATTTGTTTGAGTCTTCCGTCGTACTGGTCCGCATACTACATTGTGCGTGGGTCTTGGTGCTGTGTTTTCTTGCCACAGGAACCGGCCATTGCAAGGGAACTCATGGTGACCTCAGAAACAAACGCAAAACCACCAGAGGACCGCAGGTTTTAGTCCCATGTACTATGTACGGGGGTTCCATTTTGGGTGCCTATTTTTGACCCACAGCCAAATCAACCAAGTTTTTCCACCCAGTTATAACCATGGTTACAACCTACTGTGGATGCACGAAATCAATTTCTAAGAAACCCTGGTTTCTGATTCCCCAACATAAATACCAACCAACGGTGTGGCTTCAACCATGGTTTCACTTCGTGCTGCGAAACGGGTTTGAATTTCTTAACCATCCACAGGATCTTAGAATGGTTGTAACTAGGCTAGGTCCTCTCTACACCCTTTTCTCTGTAGTCTATTTTAGTAGTGGAACCCTCCCCCCCCAAAAAAAAAGGTACAAGGGCACGAAAATTGCTGGGGGGACCTAGTAGGGTGAAGCTGGCGAAGCTTTTGCTCAAAACCAGCTCCGGCTCCTCCGGTCCGACCCCCGCGGTTGGCTCGCCTTCAGCAGGCCCGTGCGCAGCCGGAGCTGGCGCCGGCCCCGGCTGCGGAGGCCCTCCAGGAAGACCTCCAAGGGCCTTCCGCTCTGCAGGAAGCGGCCCACCTCGCGTCGAGTCGAAATGCCGGCAGGCGCCGGACTCGAAACGCAACGGACTCGAAACGGGGGGTGGCCGCCTATGTAGAGCTCAATTGAGTCACAATCAAAACCCGGTACAAAAATGGTCGACCCGGAACCATGTAAAGAACTTACAAGGCGGCCGCAGCTGTATGTGGCAAATAACCAGCAAAACACTGACACAAACAGCAGGTTCATGCGACGAAATGCATGTAGCGGAGAGAAGGATGGAGCGACGGAATATACATATGTACATATATACTCATTGAGCTGACATTGCAGTTTGGTGAGTAACCCCCATGTCCGAACGGCGACTTGGTGCGTGTACCCCATGTCGGTCCCTTTACTACAGTACTTAAGCGTAAAGTTCAGGTGGGGATGAAGCACCAAAATGTGAATAAGCATACCAACCCACACCGGAGACTACCCCAGGCTGTTAACAAAAGGTTGATTGGTACAACGAACATAACACAAATGCAACATGGCATGGAAGCACTCAACAGTGAAAACAACGCAATGATTCGCTCACACCAGCGTATGTGGGGTTGCATCAAAATAGAGGGAAGCGCAAGAAAGCTGTCCCTCTGCAGCAAAACTCAGAATTGGGCACATGATGCATGGGTGTGCAAGCGACAACAACCAGTTCCCAAGACGTCATGCGAAAATTGCGTGAACCCTCTGTCCATGTCCTCCCAAACCAGAAACAATATATCTCAAAATAGGGGTACCCCAAAGTTGTGGTTTTCCTTGTGACATGTTCCATTGAATCTACAAGACAAATCGGGGGTACCCTCAAAAGCCCCATTTTGGGTATGTCTTTTTGAGGGCACCTTTTCGGAGGTCCCCCCATTTTAAAATTCGAAGAAAAAAATGGGGGACCCCCAACATATGGTTTCTTGGTTCCTTAAACCCACACTCCACCTCCAAAAGCTCTTCGGTTTTCTCGAGAACGGCGCGGATCGAGTCGCCTTGGCGCGCAGGGCCGGATCCGGCTGCACGGCGCCGCCGCCGCGGCGCACGAAGAAGGCGCCAAGGCCCCCCAAGGCCCAGCCGAGCAGCGGCAAGTTCGAGAACTCCTCGGCGGAAAAAACAGTTGCTGGCTGGGGTGTGGCTGAAGAATAGTTAACCCCGACACGGGTTGTTCTGGTGATGGGTGGTGAGCCATGTTGGAGATTTAATCTCAAAGAAACAACGTGAGGTGGAAAGGCTCACTGGCCTTCTCCATGGCTTTCTGGGGTGGTGAGCCATGTTGGAGGTGGGCTGACTTGGCAGAGTTGTCCAGGTGGGCTGAAAAATAGTTAACCCAGGAATGGGTTGCCCTGGTGAATGGAAACAACGCGAGGTGGAAAGGATCACTTGCCTTCTGCCACTTTTGGTTGGGTGTGGTTGTCAAAAATTGTTGGTAACCCCGAAATGGGTTGCCTGTTCGGGAAACGGAAACGAGGACTAAAAGCTGCGGTCCAATTCCTGGTGGTGACTAAGTTGGACCCAAAGCTGAGTTGCCCAAAAGATCTGAAGTTATACAAGGTCATCACCACTTTTGGAACCTCTAAATATGGACCAAATCAAGGCCCAAGAGCTGATGTTTAAGACCACCAAAGGGGAAATATCGGGAACCCTGGACAACAGGGGGGAAAACCCAAAGAAGAAATAGAAACTGGCAAGGGGCCAAAATGGAAATCAACCAAAACGAGAAGCCAACAAGCGCCAAATGAAGGCTAAGGGTAAAGCATCCAGGCGCAAAGGCAGTTGGGAATGGGTCAAACTTGACCCACCAGAAAAACCGCAGGTTTTACCCTATCTCCCACGTTGCCATGGCACCTGACAGGGGGTCCCTCCAAGAGGAAACTGTTCTTCCAGGTACCCTCCCACAGGTGCCATGTTAGTCGGGAAGGGTAGTCCTTCATATTTTGACCCACACCTTGGTGCCAGACATTGGATCCCAACCTTGGCGTTTTCAGCGCGCCACTTGCGCCACTTGCGGGTAAAGTTGCACACATTGACATTGGGCCCGCTTCATCAAGCTTTCCTTTCATCAGGCTTGCATTTTGCAAGTCCACTTTGACCGGACAAAGGTCCTCGGGTGACCTACACCTCAGCTTCAGCGCCGACCTATTGCAAAATCGGTGCGTCCTTTTTGAGGGTACCCCCCCTTTTATGTGGTACCAAAGAGAACCACGTCTTTTTTTGCGGGCGGGGTGTGGGGGTCCGTATGGTGGACACTTAGGGTCTCCAGTAGAGAGGTTAGAATAATTTGGTACCAACTGTTCTCTGTAGTCTGGAACCCTCCCCCCCCCCAAAAAAAAAAAAAGGTACAAGGGGCACCAGTTGCTGGGGGGCCCAGACCACCCTTGACCTCCCGCGAGCGCCGCGCCCGGGGCCCCCGGCGGCGTCGGCCGCCACCTGCGGCAGCTGAATCGGCAGCAGGGGCTGGAACTGGAAGCACACCAGGCCGATGAGCACAAAGTCCAGGATCTCAGCGCGGGAAAAACCACGCGCAGTCGCTCGCTTTCCGCGCGCTTTCCCGCGCAGGGGCCGGGAGTTCCCGACATCAAGCTGAGATCGCAATCAAAGCCCGGGATTGAAATGGTGGACCCAGGACAAAACCTCGTGATCTTCGCCGTTTCTGGGGGCTGTCAACGTCGGAAAATGGGGCTGTTTCCCTTTAACCCACCACTTAGGGCGTGACTTTGATCATGGTAAAATAATGGGGCCAGGGGAAACCACTCGCTTTCCGTGAAGGGGCCTGGAGTTCCCGACATCAAGCTGAGATCACCACCAAAGCCCGGGATTGAAATGGTGGACCCGGAACCACCTCATGATCTTCGCCGTTTCTGGGGGTTGTCAACGTCAGAAAATGGGGCTGTTTCCCTTTAACCCACCAATTAGGGCGTGACTTTGATCATGGCAAAATAATGGGGCCAGGGGAAACCACTCGCTTTCCGTGAAGGGGCCTGGAGTTCCCGACATCAAGCTGAGATCACCACCAAAGCCCGGGATTGAAATGGTGGACCCGGAACCACCTCATGATCTTCCCGGAACCACCTCATGATCTTCGCCGTTTCTGGGGGTTGTCAACGTCAGAAAATGGGGCTGTTTCCCTTTAACCCACCAATTAGGGCGTGACTTTGATCATGGTAAAATAATGGGGCCAGGGGAAACCACTCGCTTTCCGTGAAGGGGCCTGGAGTTCCCGACATCAAGCTGAGATCACCACCAAAGCCCGGGATTGAAATGGTGGACCCGGAACCACCTCATGATCTTCGCCGTTTCTGGGGGTTGTCAACGTCAGAAAATGGGGCTGTTTCCCTTTAACCCACCAATTAGGGCGTGACTTTGATCATGGTAAAATAATGGGGCCAGGGGAAACCACTCGCTTTCCGTGAAGGGGCCTGGAGTTCCCGACATCAAGCTGAGATCACAATCCAAAGCCCGGGATTGAAATGGTTGACCCAGGACCACCTCATGATCTTCGCCGTTTCTGGGGGTTGTCAACGTCAGAAAATGGGGCTGTTTCCCTTTAACCCACCACTTAGGGCGTGACTTTGATCATGGTAAAATAATGGGGCCAGGGGAAACCACTCGCTTTCCGTGAAGGGGCTGCCTGGATTTCCCGAAATCAAGCTGAGATCAACTCACTGGTGGGTCCCATCGAAACGATCGATCCACTTTTGGAGGCTTCCTTGACATGGTCGTGGAGGAAACCCTGTGCGACAAGTCTAAGTCACTTTGAAAGCGGTCCCTTGGCATCGCAGAAAATTGTTGACTAACACCCGATGTTCGACGATCATGGATCTCAGCGCGGACGAGGCAGAGAGGGCGGGAAGTGGGAGGGGCTGGGAGCATTCCTCTCACCACCTCATCCGAACAAGGAACTGTAGCCTGGCTCGGAAGCGCTCGGAAGCGCTCGCTTGTTCAACTATGCACGGTCCCCTTCCGGTGTTTGTGCCGTTTCTTCAAGCTCTGGTTTTGGGATAGAAAAGAAGCGGACACTGGGTTTCACTGCTTTCAAATGACACAGCGTGCTCAGCTGCTCTGCACAAAAAGCCGCGCAACAGCCAAACCTTAAGCTGAAGTTACCCACGATGAACTCATGGTCCCCACAATTCGCGGGCATGTGCGTGTTTGTGTGAGTGTGCCCCTCTAGGTGCATAATCAGATGCACACAAACACAGTGCAAGAGGAGAAGCATACTTCAGCAAGAGGAAATCTTTGCATAAGCCATGGTTGTCTCGAATCTGCTCTAAAACGGTAGGTTTTTTTGGCACCCTGTCGACAGGTCGGTTTACTCTGCAACCACATAGTTATTATTAAATATGTTTCCCACCTCTCCTGTGCCCCACAAGTGTCGCCCCACCTCTCCCTCTTCACTTCCTTCAATACAACATTGGTGGGCTTTTAGCTGTGACAATAGCTGTGACAAGTCATCTCTGAAGATGTTCTTTGTAGGGCTTACTCGGCTTTCATCGGTATCTCAAGTTAGCAAGCGATCTTTGCATAACTTGCGTTCGAATGATGAGGCAGAGCGAACACTGCATTTCGCACCCACCTCTCATTCGAATCGCTCGAATCGCTCTAAAGGGGGTGTCTCAAACTAACCTCTGAAACAGCGATTTACCTCTTGTTCTCCCTTTAAACCCCCCTTTATTTTCCTGTCGCTTTCCCTAACCCTCCCCTCCCTTTTATAGGCTTCATGGGTTTGACCGCGCCAAACCCAGGACTCCGCCGTCCCAAGTCCGCCAAGACCACCAAACGCCGCCGAAACCCCTCAAACATGTTATGGAAGAACTATCATTAACCCCTAAGTCAGTCAATTTAAATATACAAGGAACATGTGGCCATGGGTCAAAATCCAAATCGTACCCCTAATGAACAACGCACTCCAACCACTAAAATAGGAAGCCTAAAATGGGTGGTGAATTCACCCAATCCAACCCAAATGGGATCCCAAAACGGTTTTGACCCACTTCCCCCCCCCCCCCATGTGGCCTTCCCATCTCCTTCCCCATTCCCCCCCCCCCTTCCCCATTCCCCACCCTCCTCCCCATGGGTTCTCCAACTCCGAGGCGCGGAGCGGTGCTGGGGGCAGAGCACCAGCGGGGCCTCCAGGTCCGTGAGCACCGCCAGGGAGGCGCCCTGCACGGAGACGGTCAGGCGCTGCCAGCCCAGGGCCAGGCGCACCACGAAGGCCGCGAAGGCGTAGAAGAGGGACACCTCAGGGAATGAGGAGGAAGGTTTTTTTTTGGGGGGGGAAGGAAACATGGGGGGGAAGGAATGTGGGGGGGGAGGTGGGGCGGGGAATGGGGAAGGAAATGGGAAGGAGATGGGAAGGAGATGGGAAGGAGATGGGAAGGAGATGGGAAGGAGATGGGAAGGAGATGGGAAGGAGACGTGGGAGGGGAAGACCTGGCTGTGGTTGTCAAAACCGTTTTAGGATTTCATTTTGGCTGGTGGGTGAATTCACCACCCATTTTAGAACCTATTTTAGTGGTACGGGATTTTGACCCATGGCTACCTGGACGAGGGAATGAGACGGAATGTGGGGGGGGGGGGGGGAGGAATGGGGAAGGAGAGACATGTGGGGGAAGATGAGGGGATTGGGGGGGGGGGGAAGGGGAAAGGGCGAGTCCAAAAAGTGTGAAGGGAGCCGTTCGAGAATCTTGGGGGGAAATTCCAAAGTTTACGGTTCAAAAGTGTCCAACCCCCCGGGCAAGGAGATAGAGCGAAGGGAGGGGACGACAACACGAGACTCGCGAAGGGCAAAAGTGTGGAAAATGTGTATTTTTAAGAGCGAGGTTAAAGGAAAACACGCCCCCCAAAAACAGACAAAATCATGACTACGGGCCAGGATGTTTTTCTTGGCCCAGGTTTTGAGGGGGTTGCGGCCAACAGACTTGGTGAGCCAAAAAAAACAGGAAGAAAGGAGGCCAAAACCAGATGCCTAACAAAAAGACAGACCCGCATTGATTCATCACCACTGATCGGCAACAGCTCATCGACACAAGCCAAGCGAGGACGTTCAACCGCGCCTGGGGATGCACAAATGCGGAGAAGGCATCTGATAAGGCGCTCTCGTGCGAAAAGACCCGGATCTCCGTGAATCGCTTGGCCTGGTGACGGCCAGGGCCCTTCAGAGGGTTCTCTGCAAAGGCGTAGCCCGCGGTGCAGCAGATGAAAAGATACTCGTAGAGGCCCCAGCCTTCTGGCAGCCGCAGGGAGGAGCGAAAGCGCCAACACGTGCTCGGGGAGGAAAAGGGATGGTACTGCATCGGCAAGGTGGAGCAGGACGCCAGAATGCGCACCGTGCTGGAAAATCGTCTGCTCAGACTTTGGCCAAAAATCGCGAGAGCTTTCTCCAAGAAGATGCGGACAAAGTCCAAGATCTGCATGGGAAGTACGTTCAGCAATGCGTGCACGTGGTAGAAAACGGTGGCGCTTTCGCAGCACCATCTCAACAGCTTCATGTTGAAGCCCAGCTCTGGCAAGGACATGAAGCCCTTGATCGCCAAGAGCTGGTAGAAGCGCTTGGTGAAGAACCTCCACAACTCGCAATGAGCAGCGGCAGCCAAATGACTTGACCACATGGGAGGCAACCTCTGATATTTTTCGCAACAGCATCGGATTGGCCGTCAATCTTAGATGCGCTCAGACACCTCACAGCCAAACCAAACAAAAACCGACAGGTGCTGGGAAAAAAAGCCTTGTCAGCTGCATCCAATTTACCAGGGGCTTCTCAACATGCTCTCTTTACCACCCGTCTCTCGGCGGTTTTTCCGGCTTTCGGCCTGAAGGAGGGCATCTTGTCGGCATCCGCGGCATCCAGGCAGGCGTGAAGGATCCGGCTGTCCCCGCCACCTGGCGGTGCTCCGAGAATCAGGCGAGGTCACGTCTCGAAACGGGTCAAAATTAAACCACCAGGATATGGACCGCAGGTTTGAGTCCATGTTTCCATCTACCAGGGCAAGCCATTTTGGGGTTCGCCGATTTCTGACCCACTGCCAAATGGGCTACCCTTCGGTAAATGGGTTAGCACAATCTCTCAAACCTGCGGTCCATATCCTGGTGACGAACATGTTGACCCCCTATGAATCAACCAACCAGTTTATTCATAGCGGGTGCTTTTCAACCTGGGTTTAGCGGTTGGAATCACGTTTGGAGGGGAACACCCCGGCCCCCACCCCCCTATGAATAAACTGGTCGGTTGTTCCCCTGCAAAAGTGCACTAAACCCAGGTTGAAAAGCACCCCCCTGATAAGCTGGGTTGATTAATAGGGGGTCAACCTTATCCTGGTGGTGACAAAGAAAATGACCCAAAGCTGAGTTGCCCCAAGGGATCTGGAGTTATAAAAGGACAGCTTTTGGAACCTCTTGGAAACCAAACCTTCACCTCCGCTCAGGTGATCACCTTTTGCGACCTCTAAATATGGACCGAATCCGGGAAACCAAACCTCCACTTATGTCTCGGATTCCAACCAAAAGACTCCTCGAGCCTGTTCGAACCTCCAAAAAACACCGGATCCCTCGTTTTCCCGCCTGCGAGGCCCTTGACCGCCAGCTCCGCCACCAGATCCACCGGCACCACGGGGCAGGGGTGGTCGAAGCCGTCGCGGAAGACCCGGACCCCGCGGCGCGCCAACAAGGCCCCGGCGCCCACGATGGTGGAGGGCTTCTCCCCGGCCCAGCCCGTGTACGGGAAGGCCCAAGCCTCAGATCAGAACCAGAGGATTTTCCGAGCCGTTGGCCGAAAAAGTTTTGTGGACCTAGTACCAACTTGTGTTGGCGGTTTCAAAAGCTGCGGACCAACTTCTTTTGGGGGCTTCAAAAGGAAAAACAAGAGGAACAACGCCTTCAAGGCATGTGAGCCAAAACCGATTCGGGTAGATAGGGAGAATCCCAACCATAGGTGTGGCCGTTTTGAAATTTATTTACATGGGTTTTTGGGCACCCATTATTTTACCAGGTTTTGATTTTGGCTCTTGTGCAAAACACATGCAGATAGCCAGGAAGCCAGGATATGACGCGTGTATCAATGTTGGAAGTGTTGATGGGTTGGTCCATCATCTCCATCCAAGTACCAAAGCAACAACGCTTCCAAACTGGCCAAGCGGCAGGACCCACAATCGAGGGCCGCACAATCTTCACGTCCAATGCTTCAGCGTCGCAGGCTCGAATCACCAAATGCTCGGCAATGGCCTATGCGACCACGTCTGAAGAACCCCTCGCCCGTGTGGATTGCCCAAAATCCGAAGCATCCCTCTACCCGCCCCATGTGGATTGCCCAAATTGCCGTTTGGCTCGCTGTTTTTGTTGTATGCCCCGTCCTTGGCAAAGGTGTAGGTGTTCGGAAAGCCCAGCTCGTGCATGGCGGTCTTTGCCCAGCTGCCGTGCGACATGGCGTCCCTGGCCGGCAACCACGGGCTTTGGGACAGCTTTGGCTCCCGGGAGTATCTCGGCTTGTGTTTGTTTGCTTCTTGTGCTTATATTTTTGTTTCTAATTTATCTTAGTGGGAGAGTCGTAGACTCTGCTTGTGTGTTTTAGCATGTTGGCTTTCAGTTGATTGACTGGCGCAACGTTGGGCGGACTTGCTGTGCCGGGATTCTGAAAATCCGTTGGAGTTTGGTGGAGCGTTGCAAGCAAAACTGTACGGCTTAAGGTACAAACATGTCTCCGCTGTTTCTCAGACTCCAAGCGACCATCGCTGCACCTTTCGTGATCAGATGTGGGGGCTGATCCAAAGGTCCTTTACATGGGCTCAGTGGAAAAAGTGAGCCTCGATCATTTGGGGGCCGAAGGGAATATTGCTCAACCCCCAATGGCTTTGACTTCTGAGGGGCTTGAAAGGAACATCTGCGCTTGAGACCGGCCTGTAGAGTTCCATGGGATCAAAGTCCCGCAACTCCACCAGCTTCTCCTGACCCCCAAGACCAGCAAAAGCAGCAGACAAGTCTGCTGTTCCTTCTTAGCGTTTTTGTTTTCTTCTTTTTTGTTCCCACGAAGTGGTCGGCTCTACCGACTGTGTCCGCTTACCCTTGCAGGGCGGTCCTCCAGGGCTTCGCTGCTGGGCTGTGCGTGCACAAAGGCTGTGGACACAAACCTGGGCGAAGCCGGGAAGGAGGGAAGAACCGTGAGCTTGCGGACGTTTGGGATGGGTTTGCGGCCAGCTCACTTCAGGGATCAGGAGGTCAGGGGGTCACTTCAGGGTTTCAATTGCCGCGAAGGATGGTAAGCAAGAAAGCAAACCATCAAAGCCCACAATAGTGCGCAAGTGCTCCGAGGCACAGAAAGCGTTTTGCTTTCCACTTGGATGCCAGCTGTTGCATCTGCAGAGTGGCAGAAATCAAGGACACCGCCGCCTTCTGCATGGGCTGCTGGAAGCGAACGTCTCCTGCGCAGTGCAGCACCGCTGTCAGCGGCTCCTTCTGCGGCCAGGTCTTGTCTTCCGTCCAGCCGAAGTTGCGAAGCGATACGTCGCCCTCGAGACCCACCACAACCTGGCGGTTTTCAACACTCCAATGTTTTTTTTGGCTGCTTAGCACCAGGCACCAGCGACCGAAGAAAAACAAAATGTCATCAGCGGTCTTCATACATCGTCGAACTTTGATCATCTCACTCTTTGAGTACGCTTTTAGTTTCTTGGTCCAATCAGGTTGATGCAACACCAGTTCCAACATCTTGCTTGTTTTCCCCGGCCAAATTTCCTTGGATGCTTCGAACTCCCCCTTTTCTCGGTTGCTTTCTGCTCCCCTGCTAAAAGTTTAACTTTTAGTGGTTTGATGGAAAACCCATTGGTTGGCAAAAAGTTCAAGTCCTAACATCCCCTTGGCAACATGCCAAAACAACCAAAAAGGACACCTATGCCTCCCAGATGCTTCGAATTCCCCCTAGCGCCCCCTAGGGCTCCCTCCCACTTCCCTGCCGTGCCGTCGCCTTGTCAAAGGTCTCCCGCAGCTCCCGGAACATCTCCCCGTCGCGCAGCTGTCGGATGCGGTCCTCCAGCGTCTGGCCGCGCCGCTGCCGCACGAGGAGCACCAGCCTGACGTCAGAAGCAAAACCCGGGAGTAGAATTGTCTACCTGGAGTCTCCTTCTGACTCTTAAAAAATGGTTTGGTCATTATCAAAAATAATGGGGGCATTGACCCAAAATAATGGGGTCATTGACCCATTTTTAAAGGGTGGTGGAATGGTCGATCCCCAGAACCATGTAAAGCACGATTTGACTTAGGCCCAGTTATAGAATGTATATTTTATTGTTTGCTTCACATGGAGTCACTGGTCGATCCCTGGAGTCTCCTTCTGACTCTTAAAAAATGGTTGGTCATTATCCAAAATAATGGGGTCATTGACCCAAAATAATGGGGTCATTGACCCATTTTTAAAGGGTGGCAGAATGGTCGATCCCCAGAACCATGTAAAGCACGATTTGACTTAGGCCCAGATATAGAATGTATAGTTTATTGTGTGCTTCACATGGAGTCACTGGTCGATCCCTGGAGTCTCCTTCTGACTCTTAAAGCATGGTTGGTCATTATCCAAAATAATGGGGTCATTGACCCAAAATAATGGGGTCATTGACCCATTTTTAAAGGGTGGTAGGAATGGTCGATCCCCAGAACCATGTGGCCATGGGTCAAAACCCCAATGGTACCCCCAGTGAACATCCCAATCCCCATAAAATGGGTGGTGCACCTATCCCAAATGGCACCATTAACCATGGCCATGCTTCAAGAATCAAGAAGGCGGAGATCCGCAGCTATTTATGGCAAGGGGATTGGCCCTTCACCTTCATCAACCCCATCCATTTGCTTGAGTCCCCTGGAAAAAATAAAACAGTAGTGATAGGTTCCCTTTAAAACCAACAGGGGAAAATATCAAACACTCTTAACCAAATAGAAGACCTGGTTTTGATTGGACGTGGCTCGCCTCGTGATGCCCAGCTCCTCCGCGCGCGCCAACAAGTTGAAGAGGATGCCCCCGCCCACGAAGCCCGTGGCCCCAGTCAGAAGCACCGCGCCCTCCAGCCGCAGCTTCAAGGGCCGCTCGCGGCAAAATGCCACGCCCTCCACTTTGGGGAGCGCTGACATGGCCTCACACGTTTAGGGTGAATTTGTTGGGGTCAAAGGCCCAACACAACATGCCAAACATCGAGATCGCCATTGTTTGTTTGCGCCCTCGCTGTTGGGGTTCCTTGACCTGCTCGCCTGGAGAAGCTTGGGGTCCATGCGCAAGTCGGGGTCGCCGGCCAGGCACTGCGCCACCTTCGCGGCGAGGAAGAGCAGCAGCAGCGCCAGCAGCAGCAAGGACCAGATCAGCCAAAGGGAGGGCAGCCAAGAGATGAGCGACGGCCAAGCCACCAGCGCCCCACCCAGCAAGGTGACGAGCACGCGCCGGCCTCCAGTCGAGCCCGAGGCTTCTTCTCTGAAATCCACGTGGTTGGTTCCGTGCACCCGTTCTCAGTAAGGGGTGAGGAGGCCTGGTTGTAAACGGCTATAACCATACTAACCACAAACCTGACGTACGCATCGATCGCCCCTTGAAGTAGACCTGAGCCTCACCCCCCCCCAAAAAAAATAATGGGCCAGCCTGAGGCTGGGCGACCCCGTGCGGGTGCATCACTGCTTTGCAGTGCATCCTTGACGGCCTCTGCCAGCTGCCGCGCCGCGGACGGCGCCAGGTCCGGGTCCAGCGGAAGGTAAACCACGCGGTTCATGAAGTCCTGCAACGCGTCTTGCCCAAATCAGGGCTGTGGGGAATGACCACTTTGGTGACACACCAGCAAGGGCTTCCCAAAGACTAATGTGATCATAGAAACGGGGATTACCTTGTATCACAGAAGTGGGGATAAACCCCTTGATCCCACCCTGCTCCCGATTTAGTTGGGGCCCTCAAGCCGCCAGATCTTGCTTGACCCCCAACTATCGAGGTGGGTGTCCAATGGAGCGGTCCAGTCTGAGCCATTCAAAACGGTGCTGGGTCCCCTGGGTGCCAGCCCCACTTTCTTCAGCGGGCGAGCAGAACCGCGGGTCTCCTCCCCATCCGACGCCCGGAGAGCAGCTGACCGCGTGGCAGAGCTCGCGAGGCTCTGCACCCGCTGCAGCTGCGTGGAAGTGCTAGTGGCGTCGAAGCCGCGCATCAGCAGCTCCTGCCATGGAAAAAAAATGGGATCCCAGCCGTGTCCTCGGAATAGACCTATGCTTGAGGGAAAACAGCCGTTTGGGGCAGTCCGCCGTTCATGGTTGCAGATTCCAGGTTGATCTAAAATCCGCTTCATCGCTTCATAGCTGCATTTCCCAAGGGGAGGGACGGACTTGAACCGACGTATTGGTCGACTTTTGACTGAGAACCAACCTGCGAATTGCAGCATATTTGCTGCAAAAGATGGTCGCTGCTCCCAAAAACAGACATCGCCTGATCCCAGAACAATTCAGAAGCTTCCTGCAGCTGAATCCTAGCCAGCCCATCCCGATTTTGTTTGAACGTCCATTTGGGCGGCCAAATCGCGCCAGCTGCAGAACGAACGAACTGGCCAAGGAAATACACGCGGCCCCCGCCGCACCTGCGCCACCTGCCGAGGGTTGTCACATAGGATGGGCAGCAGCCACCAGCTGTTGGCACCATCCCCGAGCGACACCACCTCGAACAACCCAACAAAAGGCGCATCCCTTGAAAAACTCACAATCGTGGCACCTGCAACTGCCACGGTGGGTGGGAGTTTTTGGTGCAATTCCCTTTTGTGGGACTTGCCTCTGAGGGAAACCTCCCCCAGATCTGAGTTTCACAATGCAGGGAGCTTAACCCAAAATGGCATTTGCCCCGAAGGATATGGAAAAACGCTGTTGTCAAAAAGATGTTTTGTGGAAGATGGGCTAACTTGAGTTGTCCGTGTCATGTCAATGATTTGTCTGTCTCCCCAAAAAAGATGTTTGATTTGTTAACATGCATCGAGCAAGATTATCGATCAGACACACATCTAATTAGCTTGATTGCAATGTGTGTTTGAACTGAGCCATGTCCAGTTTCTCCGGAACATCCAGAAAAAAAACATGTGGATAGATGTCCATGACCCACTAAGTCCCTCTTTGATGAAAGCTCTCGCGGGCGCTATCTGCTCACCTCCAGGGTTCCCTGCCGTTCAACACTATGTGCACTTGCTAGCGGCACGTTTGGCTCTAGTCTGGTTGTCGACCGCCCAATGTTGCAACCTGTCCAAAAACAAACTGATGTTCTTTGTCCAAAAAAAAGTGGGCAAAAACAAAGCTGCTGGTGTTCTTTGTCAAAAAAAGTGAGATAAATATGAGCCCCCCACTTTTAGTGGGGACACTTTCTGAGAATCCATCCTGCTGCCTCCAACCTCCCTCTCCTTGGTACGGTATGCAGCCCCCTACTAAGAATGAACACCTGGTTGCGGTTGACCCACCCCTCTGCACCAAGTTTCACTTTTTGTGGGTCCAGTGGAAGATCCCACAAAGGTTCAACCAAAAGTGCAAAGTCCAAAGATCCGTTACCAAGTAGCCACAAAGAGCAAAACCCGAAACAGTTTTTCGAAAAATGATGATTTTTTCACTTTTAGTCGGGACACCCGTGGAGAATCCTGTCGCAACCATGTTATATGGGGATCAACCCCAGTTACCCTAGCTATAAATCCCCGCTTTTTCACCCACTTCAGTCATAACCACAGCTTTTTGTTGCCAATCATACCCCCAGTTTACCCCAGTTACCCGGAACCATGCTTCAAGAACTAAGAAGGCGGATGTCCGCACCTATTTATGGTTGGCTTTACCTACTTTAGTCCCAACCACTGCCTGTTTTTCACCAGCTATACCCTCAGTTGCCCCCGTTCTCCCCAACCCGACCTTGGGCCACGAACCTCTCTAGGGGTTGATTCCCCATTCTTCAAGGGTGGTTTTCTAGAAAGACTCGGATCCCTGGAAAGAATGGAAATAGAAGCTACCCCTAGAAATGTCATCTTTCGAGACTTTTGCTCAGCTTCCCCCAATTGGTGGTTTGGAGCCGAATCCGAATCGGTTTGGTGTCCCATTCACCGTGTGCAAGCACCAGGGTTCAAATCCAACTCCAAACCACCAATCCAAATTACCAAAGGCCACAGGTTGCCACCAGAGGAGGGGATAGTCACTTCCTGAGTGGAAGGGGGGAGTCACTAAACTGGTCCATACCAAAAAAAAAAAGACCCCGTAGAGTTGCCCCATTCAATGAGACCAGTGTCATTCAGCTTGGGTTTCTTGCCGGACCCGCTGAGAGGTGACCCCTGGGGGTTGATTCCCAGAACCCTCGCTCCCGCCCCCTCCCAGCGCGCGCGCCTCCGCCCCCAGGCCCGCCGCCAGCATCTGCTTCGCCAGGCCCCGGCGCCGCGCCACGGAGCTCTGCAGCGAGGAGTCCTCGAAGGCCGCCTGCGGTTGTTTTTTTTTTTCCGGTAACGGGAGGGCCGGCTGGGGTGGGTTGTTTTTTAAGGAAGGAGCCAAAAAGGCTCACCAAGTGGGTTTGAAAGTCCACTGGTTTTGGGGGTCCATTTCAAATTGTCCATATTTTGTTTGAAGCAGCTGGTTTTGGGGGTCTGATTGAAATTGTCATGCTTTTTTAAGGGTAACCCGCCTGGTTTGTGTGGCTTTGAAAGGGAAACCAAGAGGGAAACCGTTGCGCCTTTGTTGAGTCCCCTAAAATGACACAGAGCCAAATGGTAGAATGCAGGCAGTGCCGAAGGAAAATCAAACTGATATATTTCGGCGGTTCGCAGATTCACCGAGAGAGAGAGAGAGAGAAGGCAGCTCAGTGAAGTTGCGCCCCAAACTAGACATGGCAATTTCTGTTTCATGGTCACAACCTCTGCCGAAGCATCGATCACTGGATGAAGTCCCAACTTGTGTGTTTGTTTGTGTTTTTGTTTGGCGGAAAGAGCGAACCAAGCATGCCTTCGAGCATTGCTCGGGGGCTTAATCACAATCCGTAATCAGCTCAATCCTTGTTCTGGGCGGAAATCTTCTTAATCCATCATCCGCGCTGCAAACCGTGATTCGAAACCATCTGCTGGAGCTTTGAACATCCATGCAACTCACAATGCGCAATCCGTAAACTGTGCAATCCAATCCACAAACCACATCGTCCGCAATCCGATAATCATTCGAGACAGGTTTGATCAATATATGTTCTTGTCTTTGTGTGTGTGTGTGTGCGATCTTGTGCACGGGCATCTGCAACAAAGCAACACGGGCTGTTCGTGGAGCCCTGAGTTTCGCGAGAAAACATGGCCTGGGCCCTCCCAGAGCGTTGCAAAGTCAGCTAGCGCTGATGGGTCGGCTCAACACAAATGGCATAACGGCTAACCACGACTTGGCAGAACACACACACACACCTGTCCCTGGCTGACCTGGCCTTGTGCTGTGACTGCAGGCGCCAAAGGAGCGTTTCCAACAAAGGCACCTGCGCCGCAAGAAGATGGCAACCGGCGCCTCTTGGCACTTGTCGGGTCTTGAGTCTTGACATGGAACGATCTCGAACAGGGCATCCTCTGTGGCCAGAAAACACAAATCATAAAAGCAGCAAAGTTCCTTCATTTGGTATTTGGTGGTCAGGACCTTCCATTTGTGTCACAATCAACACCTGGTATCAAAACACCCTTCCCAAAAACCTAATTTTGGTTGGGACTTGTGTCCCTTACTAACCTTCATCTACCCCACTCGGTTTTCCTTGCGACCCGTCCATTCGAGGAAAAATTGTTCGCCGTTGGCGCCGATGGCCGCTGGCGGATGTACTCCAACTTGGTGAAGCCACGCGTCCACGCCACGATGACGCGATCAAAGTCGAAGCCCAAGGTGGTGACCAAAGACTCCAAGAAGCCGTAGAGGCAAGGGGTCAGAAAGGCCTGGCATGTCTTCAGGTCTTTGAGGGAGAAAGGGAAGCAAAACATGGTGTTTGTCTTCAGATCTTCAAACAAAAATAACGGGGGGGGGCTTCAGGGAGGGGAAGGAGCAAAACATGGTGTTTCCCCCCTCCCCTCTCTTTCTCTTCTCCCCTCTCTCTGTGTCTGCCTGTCTGTCTGTCTGTCTGTCTGTCTGTCTGTCTGTCTGTCTGCCTGCCTGCCTGCCTGCCTGCCTGCCTGCCTGCCTGCCTGCCTGCCTGCCTGCCTGCCTGCCTGCCTGCCTGCCTGCCTGCCTGTGCCTGTCTGTCTGTCGGTCGGTCGGCCGCTCATCTATTTATCTGCCTATCGATCTATCCATCTATCAATCTATCCATCTATCAATCTGTGAATCCATGGACCTGTCTATCGATATATCGATCTATTGATCTATCTATGGAACTATCGAACTATCGATCTATCGATCGATCGATCTTTCTATCTACCTATCTATCTATCTATCTATCCATCTACCTACTTACCTATCTGTCTATTCATGTTCTATCGGTCTAACTTTCTATCGGTCTGTCGATCTATCCATCTATCGATTTGAGGGCACCCTTTTTTGGGTTTGTTTAAAGGACCACCGAAAGGAACACCAGCACTACATGTGTGGGTGTTTTTTGTCGGGTCCCTCAAAAACGACACCCCCATCTGGGTGTGGCTCAAAATTTAAGGGCTGGGGTTGCTTCCATCCAAGGGGCCCAAAAATGGGTTCCACTTTTTTGAGCCACAGCCATATCAAGTAATCAAGTAGAAGGAACATTCATCCAGTCAAAAGCGTCAAGGGACAGCCAGCATAAACTTCTCCAAGGCCTCTCTCTGAATCCTGTGGTCAAATTCGAAAAGCTGAGCCCATGGCTTCTCGAATTCAGCACCTGAAAAAAAAAGAGCGGTCGTTGGATTCGGATTAAAAGCTTGCGGCGCTTCTCACATATCAGCCTGGACCTGCATTGACCACACTCCTCTAAAGATGACTCATCCACTCACCCGCTCTTCAGCCCACTCATCCACTCACCCGCTCCTCAGCCCACTCAACGTTGGGAATCTTAGGGCGCGGTCCCCGTTCCTGGCTCAGGGCCAGCTCGCCTTGAAGACGAAGGCCCGGAGCACCGTCCACAGCCGCTGCGCGCGGCTGCGCACGGGCCAGCCCTGCTGCAGCTGCTGCATCCTCTGCCGCAGGGAAGCATTCTGGACCCAGGCGACACCGCCGCCCAGGGCCGACAACGTCTTGATGTAGCCGAAGCTGAAGAGGGACACCTCGACCGAAGCCATGGGGCAAGAAAGGAATCTCAGAGAAAGCACCGCCAGAAATGGTCCCAACACTGGAAGACAACCAATACCTCCCCCCCGGATGTCTTGGACAGTTGGCCAAGCACGCAAAAACACGGAAATCCTATGTGGTATGTTCAGGGTCTGATGTCCAGGTATGCACTTGCTGCTGTCCAAAAGGACGTCCTACATCGACGATGTCGGCAGAGCGGGCAGGTGGAATGATAAGATCAGGATGCGACAAGCTGGACGGACGGACAGCCGAGCACAGAAGGTGCAACTTGAGCTGGCGCAACGGTTCTCCTTTTGCTTTCCCTTTAAAGCCCACACAAGAAGGGCTTCCCCCCAAAACGAACATACCCAAAGGAGCCTGGTTGGCCGGTGAGAAGGTCGTTTGGCAGTGGGTGGTGGACAGGATGCTCCCCGCATGGTGGACATCCATTCCTTTTGTTGTTTCCCGGTATGCCAGGGAGGTGGTCAGTAAGCCTGGTGAGATAACCCACAGAACCGAGACATATAACCATGCTTTTGCGGGTTATAAGCTAAAACCATGGTTATTACCCACTTACTCAGTCTGCCCCTTTTAAGTGGTGCACCCCAGGCGTTGACAACTCCCAAGCAGCACTGGTCCAAGAAGTATATTTCGTGCATCTTATGAATATGTTCGAAACCTGAAAAACAAGCTTGTGGGTTGTAAAGGGAGCCCCTTCTTTTGGTGGGTGATAAAGGGAAACCTGGCCAAAAATGCGGAGAGATCCACCCTAAAAAACTTGCTGGTTTTCAGCAGGGAATGAGGAATGACCCCCATAAACCATCCCTTGTGTTTTCCCTTCATTCGGGAATCCCCAAAAGTTTCGTTCCCACCGGACCCTATCCCACCAAACACATCTTCTCTCCTCTTTTTTTCGGGACCACCCTTTTTCTGCGGGTTTCAAAGGGAAACCCGTTCTTTTGGCGGGTTTTCAAGGCAAACCTGGCCAGTCCACCCCTGGCCACCACCCACCCAGCCACACACCCACCCACCCAACCACCCAGCTACCCACCCAGCTACCCACCCACCCACCCACCCACCCAGCCCACAGAGAGGGACGCCGTTCTCTCAGGTCCCGGCGTCCGCGCCGTGGCCCCGGAAGCCCATGGGCCACGGGGCGGCCAGGGACCGCCTCGAGGGCTCCATGGCGCCGAGGAAGCTCTGGGCGCAGTCCTGCGAGCGCTTGGGGCGCTTGGGGAGGGGGAGTGACCCATCCTCCCGCTTGGGGCGCTTGGGGGGGGGCTTTGGGGGCTTTGGGGAGGGGATGGTCTTGGGAGTGCCGGGAGGCGGGGGAAGGATGAGGTTTGTGGGGTGTCTTTGCGGGTGGTTCTCTCAACGTCGCTTGAAAGACCCGGGTTTCTCTGGCGGTTCGAGAGAAAACTGGTTACATAGAGGCTCAAGTAGAGGCTCAAATGAGGGTGGGTAGAGGTCAAACAACATTTTGGAGGTCCTTTTTTGAGGGTACCCCTGCTTTGTGGGTTTGAAGGGAAACCAGGCTCACATTTTTTGCCTGCAAGCGCGTGAACTGCGCCAGATGGTCCCCCAGAGCAGGATTTGCGTGGCAACTCCAACTACATTTATATTCAAGTATTCGGGGGCGCTGTACTTAGTAAGTGGGCAATAACCGTGATTATAACCCACAGAAGCCATGGTTATAAGTCTCCTGGGTGGGTTGTATAGAATCCTAACCACTTGTCTGATCGCCCCCTTAAGTATAGGGCCCCTCAAACTGGTCCCGCAGTCGCAAGCCTGTTCAGCCATGGGAAACTGCCCCCGAAAAAGGCTCGCAACTGCAACAGCAACATGCGACTTGAGATCTTCAAGTTGCCCAAGCAAAATGGAGGGCGGTGCTGCCCGAAACGAACGAACCCCATGTACAAAACCGTGGGGGCGGTGGACTCCTCCACCACCAGCAGATCCAACTCCTTGGCCTCCCGCAGCAGATTTTCGCACCTGTGGACCGTGCCAAAGAGGTGGGAGAGGACCAGCACCTGCCAAGCTCACCCCCAGAAAGCGGATCTGCCGGTGGAAAGGGAAAAGCTGTGTGAGGGGATTTTGCGCGAAACAGAACAGAAAGGAAAGGATGCGTCCTTCCAGGAAACTCGTGGATCGGCTTCTTTGACGTTGGTCTCAGCAAGATGGAAGTGCAAGCTTCTTGAGAGTCGATCCTGTCAAGTCTTGCGGGGAGGATATTGAGGCTTGGCACTTGGCACACCATGCATTCGTCGAGTTACCCTCCCTCCAATCATGGAAGCGGACGATCAGCTTCCCCAAAAGGAAAGCGTTCGTCTTCCAAAACCCTTCTGTCTGCTTCCATGTTTTGTTGGAAGGAGGGCAACATCAGGAATCATTACACCAGAATTCTGTGGAGTCAAAGAAACAACTCCAGCCTCGGCTGCAGGGCTCGAGCTGGGAGGGAACTATCCTAGCCCTGCCCAAGTAAGCCCGCTTGAAGGCTGCCAAAGAACAAACGCTCCTGGGAACATATTACTGTGTCTACTGGAACTCCCAAACTGGGGTGGCTTCCTTTTGTAAGAGCCTCTTGCATTCTCAACAACCCCTTAAAACAGGGAAAAAACGATACCATCGGTACCCACACAAAAGACACAACGCACCAAGCGCAACGGTTGCGTCACCCGAAGCCCCCCGTGCCCCGTGCGCCCCGCGCCTTCGTCTTGGGCGTCACTAAGGGCTTCAGCGACTGCGGCAGCATCCGCTGAGGCGAGGGGGGGTCCACCCCCACGGGTTGCAGGCCGTGGGCTTCTACCAGTTGCACCATGCCTGTCTGCCGGAAAGTTGCTTGGTGGGTTGGTTGCTGATTGATTGGTTGGTTGCTTGCATGGTTGGCTGGCTGGCTTGCTTGCTTGGTCGCTTGGTCGCTTGGTGGCTTTCTCACTTGCTTATCTTGTTTGCTTGCTTGTTTGGCTGATTGCTTGCTTGCTTGCGTGCGTGCGTGCTTGCTTGCTTGCCTGCTTGTCGGTTGGTTGTTGTTTGTCTTTGTTGATTTGTAGTGTTTCCAATTGCTGTTGCTTGAATGGTGTGTGTGTGTGCACATGTGTGCGCGTGTGTGTGTGTGTGGGTGTGTGTGTGTGGGTGTGCGGGGTTGTTTGTGTTTGTTGGTCTGCCCTTGTTTGTATTAGTGTAGTTGTGGCTTGCTTTGCTTGACCTGGCGGTTCAGTTCATACTTGGTGATTATGCTTTTGCGGGTGATCTGTTTGTTGAGATCTGTGATTGGTATGCGTCGCCTGTGACGGTCACGACTGTAGCGCTTCAGGTTGGTTCTCGCGCCTGTCCGGCCCGACCCTGTATGGCTCCATACAGCTCCAATCCCCTTCCCTCCGGATGCCGATTGCGCTGCCTGGGATGGTGATGCCCGGCAGGAAGAGCACCTCACACGGGAGCCGGGAGCAAAGCCGCGCCGCTCACCAAACCAACTCCTCTCAGAAGGAGCAACAAACCCTGATCCAGCATTGCAAAAACCAGGCTTCCCCCTCCAAACCACCCCCCGCTTTTCCGTGGTAGGGTAATTTGTGCCCAATGTGGCGCGCGTCCTAAAGGAATGAAAGGAAAGGAAAGAATTGGACGCATCAGAAAAGCAATGGAAGGAGCTGGAAAGGACATATATGATGATGAAGAAAATGAGGATGATGAGAATGATAATGACCGTGATGATGAAAATGATGATGATGAGAATGATGATTAAACTGATTGCCAATAGTCAGAGCTTAGGCCATGCATCTGAGGCCTTTTGGAAAACATATTTTTCCTAATCATCCTAAATATCCTAGTTATCCTATTCAATTAGGATAATTAGGATAATTACGTGCCCGCATTGGCAAATTCTCTAATTAATTAAGATAATTAGATTAATGGGGTAAAGCGGAGTTCTCGAATTTCCTAATTATCCTAATTAATTAGCATAATTAGGATAAATTGAATAATTCGGATAACTAGGATAATGAGGAACATAATGATTTCCAAAGGACCTCGGTCGAATTCCTACCTGGTTGATGAGGAATGATGATGCAAATGATGATGAGAATGAGGATGAAAAAAATGATGCAAATGATGATGATAAATGATGAGGATAATGCTGAGGATAATGATGATGAGAATGATGATGAAAAATGATGATGATAATGTTGATAAGCATGTCATCATGAAACTGATGATGAACATAATGATGAAAACGATGATGAAGAATGATAATAAACACGATGATGAAAATGATGATGATGATGATGATGAAAATGACGATAATGATGAACATGATGACCATGATGATGAGGATGAGGATGATGATGATGATGCTGATGCTGATGATGGTGACGATAATGATGAACATGATGACCATGATGATGAGAATGATGATGAGCATGATGATGATAATGATGATGAGCATGATGATGAGCATGATGATGAAAATGATGATGATCAATGATGAGGATAATGATGATAAGAATGATGATAATAATGATGATAAGAATGATGATGCAAATGATGATGAATATTAGCATAATTAGGATAATTAGGCAAATACCGTTTCACAAGGCCTCGCTCGACTTCTTCCTACCGGGATGGTGAGCATGATCATGAACATGATGCTGGTGATGATGAGAATGAAGATGACAATGATGATAAGACCGATGATGAGAATGATGCTAAACATGATGATGAGAACGATGATGATGAGAATGAAGATGAGAATCATGATAAGACCGATGATGAGAATGATGATAAACATGATGATGAGAACGGATGAGAATGAAGATGAGAATGATGATAAGACCGATGATGATAATGATGATACACATGATGATGAGAACGATAATGAAATTGATGACGCAAATGCTGAAAAACATGATGATGATGACAATGATGATGATGATAATGATGATGAACATGATGATGAACATGATGATGAAAATGATGATGATGATGATGACGACGATGATGATGATGATCATGATGACCATGATGACCATAATGATGAACATTATGATGATGAAAATGATGATGACGAGAATGATGATGACCATGATGATGACCACCATGATGAGCATGATGATGAAAATGATGATGTTGATAATGATGATGGACATGATGATGAAAAGGATGATGATGCAAATGATGATGACAATGATGATGAACATGATCATGATGATGATGATGATGCTGATGATAATGATGATGACAATGATGACCATGATGAAAATGAGAATGAACATGATGATGAAAAGGATGATGATGAAAATGATGATGACAATGATGATGAACATGATGATGAAAATGATGATAATGATGATGACAATGATGACCATGATGATGAACATGATAATGAACATGATGAGGACAATTTTTGATGACGAGAATAATGATGCCCATGATGATGAGCATGATGATGAGCATGATGACGAACATGATGATGAAAATGATGATAAGCACTATGAAAATGATAATTGTGATGATGAAAATGATGATGAAAAGGATGATGAAGATGAGGATGAAAATCATGCTGACTCGGTCGACTTCCTGCCCGGTTGAGCCTCCCAGCAGTCAGAGCTTAGGCCGTGCATCTCCGGTCTTTTGGAAAACATATTTTTCCTAATTATCCTAATTATCCTAAATATCCTAAATATCCTAAATATCCTAAATATCCTAATTAATTAGGATAATTAGGATAATTAGGATAATTACGTGCCCGAATTGGCAAATGATCCTAATTAATTAGGAAAATTAAGATAATTAGGTAAAGCGGAGTGCTCGAATTGGCATTTTTTCCTAATGAATTGGTGCTCGAGGCTCCCAATTATCCTAATTATCGTAATTAACTAGGATAATTAGGAAATTCGTATTTGTATTTATCATAACTAGCCCAATGAATTGGATAGTTCTGTTTACCTAATTGTCCTAACAAGGGTACTTGCCACATAGGGCAGCAACTACCCTCATACCCCCCCCCTACCCCCCTACCCCCCTCCCCCCCCCCCGGCAAGCCTCGGAGCCCTGCGGCAGCTGCAGCGCCTCCAGCAGCAGCTCGAAGACGCTCCGCGCGCTCAGCGCCACCAGCGCTTCTTGGCCCAGCTGCTGCGCCAGGCGCTGCTCCGCCGCCTCCCGGCGCTGGCCTCGCTCCGCGCGCGACGCGG